TGCCGTGTTCGGTTCAGTCTCGGAACCTTCGCGAGACTTATGTCAGGGTCACCAATGTAGTGCCGAGAGAAGGGAGACGGAGGCGGTGCATCGGAGGTGCAAATCTCTCTTTATTGGGGAGCAGAAATCGACGTGCTGTCGGGTTGCAGGAAAGAGGAGAAGTGAAAGAGGAGGACACACAGTAGGTACCCCGGAGGTACCGTCAACATATATGTCCGGGCGGAAACAATACCCCCAACCTGTTAGAGATGGGCGAGTCCTGATTCATCCGGATCATTAACCCGGATCCTAGAAATGAGCTGGTCATGACGAGTCTCCCCTCTCCATTAACCCGAGTCCTTGAGTCCCACACTTGGTGTGACGTACAAATTAAAACTATAAATTGCGTCACTCGCTACTCTCTTTATAACATGTAAAATCACATTACAACGTACCCCAAGTCCATCTACCTACCCTTTAGCAAGTATACAGGATAGCTGCCAGAAGTGATCGTTTGGCTCAGGGGAGGGGACGCAGATCAGTGAAACTTCCTGCAGACTCGTGGGGACTCAGAGGAGCCGACGGCTCCAACAGCAGACTCGCAGATTCGCAGATTCGCAGATTCGCAAATCCTGACTCGCTGCAACACACAGCGGATCAGACTCGTGCGGACTCGGAGCCGTATATAGCAGCAGATCCAGAGATCCAGCAGACTCGTCCTCATGCACGAGTCAACAGCAGACTCAGATTAGCCAAATCGCAAAATAACCCTTTTTTTTTGTGATCAACATTTTTTATTAAAGCAAAATACACTGTGTAGCGGAGGTTAATTATAACGTCAGTTTAATAGATAGATAGATAGATAGTACTTTATTGATCCTAAATTGGGAAATTGTTGTTGTTACAGCAGCATAAAAGGCATTTTACAATAAAACAAAACTACAAAATATACAAGAATAGAAATAAAAATAAAATATAAAATATACATGTCGAAATAGAAAATATACATGCAGATATTATATATATATATATATATACAAATATATATATATATATTCAAAATATATGGAATAATAATATGCTCGTGAAATGCAACAACTTTTCGGTTTCACCAATAGGATTTCTACGGTCTTGGTCATGCTGACTCGTATGACTCAAATGACTCGTATGATCCGGATCTCTTCAATGACTGACTCAGAAGACCCTGAGTCCGTAAAATGATCCGGATTTGCCATCTCTACAACCTGTAGTTCCCGGATTGAATTATGTAACCCCAGTGTATGAATCAGTGATCACTACAATATGCTATATGCTCTGAACGTTCCACTTCCTGCCTGCCCGACCTTACGTTACGGCTGCGCCGCGACAAAAATAGGATTCGATCCTAATTTTAGAGGAGCCCTGCGCCGAGCCGCTTCTGGGACGCTTCTGAGCCGTAACGCGCCGCGTGTGGTGGAATAGCACCCATTGACTAGAGTGGCCGCGATCGCCGTGAGCACTGCGGCGCAGCCGTAGCGCAGCCGTAACGCGCCCGGGCTATCCCCTAGATTCCACCGGGTCCGTCTGCGCCGCGTTACGGCTGCGCCGCGGTTTTGGTCCGGCCTCCTCCGGCGTCATACCCTACCAGGCGCGTTTCAGAAGCATTTCAGAAACGGAGAGTCTTGCCTGCTGGCTCGCAGTTTTTGTTGATTTGGGCATATTTCCTGGACAGGCTACTTTGTACAGACAAAGTTAATAATAACTGTAATATTCCAGTTATAAACGACATGAATCAAAGATGTGTTGCTGTATTTTAGTGGTAAAAAAAATGCATTCATCATCATAATTATTCTATATATATAATTTACACAGTGCCTGTAAACCGGAGGAGAACGCTGGCATTTCTCCTCCTACTTGAAAGACTACGGAGGGATAGGGTCTGCAAAATTAGTTTGTGTGTGTGTATATATATAGGTCTATATAGCTCTGAACGTTCCACTTCCTGCCTGCCCGACCTTACGTTACGGCTGCGCCGCGACAAAAATAGGATTCGATCCTAATTTTAGAAAAGCCCTGCGCCGAGCCGCTTCTGGGACGCGTCTGAGCCGTAACGCGCCGCGTGTGGTGGAATAGCACCCATTGACTAGAGTGGCCGCGATCACCTTGAGCACCGCGGCGCAGCCGTAACGCGTCCGTAACGCGTCCGTAACGCGCCGCAGACGGACCCGGTGGAAACGCGCCGCAGACGAACCCGGTGGAATCTAGGGGTATCGCTATTGGGTAATCCCCCTGCGCACCCGCGCAGCATGCACTGAAACACTTGTAGTCCACGCCCGCCCGCAAGGTGGGCCCCACCCTCGGGCTCCCTTACGGTATAAATAGGAAGGAGGCCCGACAATCTGCTCCCTCTTTTTCTTCAGCACCCCGTTACTGAAGCACAAGAGACACTTTCATTAACAGAGCAATCATGAGCAGCAATTGTGTGAGAGATTGTCCCTCATGTGGCTCTGGATACATTATGAGTTACGACCAGCACACGATGTGCGAATCCTGCCTGGGGCCAGAGCACGCATACGCGGCTTTCAGCCAGCAGGTCGCATGCACACACTGTGCCCGTCTCCCCTCAGACGACAGGAAGCGAAGAGCGGACGCTCTCGCTGCTGCGGCCGAGGAGGACGATTGGCCCGTCCAGGCTTTCGAGCCTGTGGACGGCGGCCTCATGTCCCTGGAGCCGAGTGCCGGGCAGGTGTCGGACGACTCCTACCCCGCCTCCCTCCACGGTTCACCGTACGGTTCTCCCCTCCCTCCTCTCCCCCGGACGGGGGAGACAGAGTCGGAGCAGGGTGCCGGCCCAGTGGGGCGCAGACTACATCTTGCTTCGCCCTTAACCCAATAGCGATAGCCTTAGAGGGCGAAGCCATATACGAAATAGAACTGAAGTTACCTACTGTAACTCCAGCTTCTATGAGTATTGGCGTAGCCCTCTAAGTTCTGGGCCCCACTGGCTCCACGAATAGCTGAAGAAAAGTTGTTTTGTGTGGGAGCAGATTGTCGGGCCTCCTTCCTATTTATACCGGAAGGGAGCCCGAGAGTGGGGCCCACCTTGCGGGCGGGCGTGGACTACAAGTGTTTCAGTGCCCAATAGCGATAGCCTTAGAGGGCTACGCCAATACTCATAGAAGCTGGAGTTACAGTAGGTAACTTCAGTTGTTATGCCTGCTGTGACGTTACGTTACTCCGTTCTCCGCTTGTAATTATGTCTACAAGCTTCAAAGTTGTATTTATCATCTGAATTTGCCGAAACAAGTTTAATATTCTGAAAGCCAAGACTTTGTTTATTTGAAATCAGATACAAACAAACTGTAACGGACCCTGCCATGTTATATATGATTACTATACGCCTTACATTCTTAATTTCAGCAGAGGGAGGGGAAGCGGCGCTGTGGAAGAGCAGAGTGGCAAGTGAGAGCTGTCATCTTCCCTTTACAAGCTTAAAAAATGCCTGTAGCTAATGAGATTGAATATAACAATAACAAATAACAAAATATACACAGCTAGATCAGATCGCGTTTTAGATGCGACTTTAGAGTAGAGGGGAATTATTGAAACGGGATTCGTACAGTGTTCCGCGGCATCCGCCGCTGCGAAAATGTAGGGCAGGGCTCAAAAGTGGCAAATGGCCCCCTGGCCCCCCCGCTTCCGCTTCCGGCGCCCTTGACTGCATGCAAGATTTTAACACAACTAAATCGAATCCAATTTTAATTTCTCTGTCCCGTGTTTTTTATAAAGGATCACCTGACTCTGATGTATTTTTCGTTTCCAGATAAGCAAAAGCCTGAAGAGAAGGTGGCCCAGCAGCAGGAAGTGGTGAAAAAAGACACCCCCAAGAGCAAGAAAAGTTCCCCCGCTAACAAGTCCACTCCGTCCACTCCCCCTGCAGCAGTTGACCCCCACGATGCGTTGGCGGGAGATCTCATCAAGAAGAACGTCGTTAACAATGAAGCCGCTCCTGTTGCTCCAAGCCAAAAGAAAAAAACCTCTGAAAAAAATAAGAGAGATTCTTCCTCTTCGTCTTCTTCTTCCTCTTCCTCCTCCTCTTCTTCCTCTTCCTCATCCTCCTCTGACGAGAATAAAGATGAGAAGCCCAAGGAAGAAAAAGAGGGTGAGGGTGAGGGTGAAAAGACCAAAGCCTGAGTTATAATATATGCTATAAACCTGTGAAGCTACTTAAAGTTTGTCACTCAATAAATGATTTGAAAGTAAAATGCCCAGCCTTGTTTTATTTCCTCTCTTTTGATACATGACATTTGTGGCCATTTATTTCCTTTTATAATCTTCATTTACCTTCATACAATATACTTGAATTATTCACAAAGAGCATTGTTTCTCAAGCAGGGCGACTTTTGCATAAAACATGATTTAGACAAGTCTAGTTTGGGTTGAACAAATGATGACTATTGAAAGAGTACAGAAATGTCACTGTAAAACAATGGAATATTTTTCATTGGCACCATTTAGGCATTATTTAGTTTTAAAATTCTCAAGAAATATCATGATCTTGTCAAAAACACTACAGGAAACATTCAAACTAGAAATCTAAGGAATATATTGTAATAAGATATATTTTAAAACCACTTTATAAAGACCTTGAAACCAACGTTTATACAAAATACTTGCAATGTTTCTCAAGCAGGAATACTTTTGTATAAATTATGATTTAGACAAATGTTAAATATAACTTTAAATTATGTTAAGTAGTATGAATGCAAAAACTGCACTTATATGGTACTCCTAGTGAACAGATTGACTTGCATTTGAAACAAGTCATTATTTACGAGAAAAAGTGCCCGAATGTCAAAAGTATTTTGAAAATAGTTTTGAAAGACTTTGTTGAGCATTTCCAGTGTACAGCTCAGTTTATGCTCAAAATCATCATGTAGTTATTATGTATTAAACTTGTAATATTGTCAGAGGAAATAGGACAAAGAACCAAAGAACAGAAGTGGTTGTGAAAGAATAACAAAATGTCTTCATGCCAGAGATGCTTTTTTGTAAGAGTGATTTATTTTATTTTTTTCAAATGACAATGGTACAGACGACATGAAGCACAGAGAGGAGGAGAGGGGGGGTTGAAATCATCCGATGCGTGGATACTGCATGGTGAGGGGGTTGAGGGGCAAGCAAGAGTACCAAATGGAGTAAAAGATATCGTATCAAAAATTTCATTTTTTTTCATATATATATTTATATAGGACTAATAATTCTCTTTAACTACGCAAAGCAAGGAATACCCTTTTCCATTTATCTCGAGCCGAGGCTCTCCCTAAGCAGGGCCGACATTATTATTCATTAAAAAAAAGAAAGACGGGACATGTACGGGGGCTGGGCGGGGACATTTAGAGGCGTCCTGTGGTCCTGTCCGATGTGGCGTTTGAGTCTCAGTGTAGCGCGTCTGGGCGTGTCCACAGGGGTTTGGATTTCTCTGGTGGGGGGGGTGGGCAGGCCTCAGCGGGAGAACGTCTTTCCACTGAAAAGCAAAACAAAGACAAGATAAATACCACGGACAGGCGACAAGCAGACACGTTTTTTTTTTTTTAATCAATTCCCTACAGGAAGTTCTACCAACGTTTTCTAAATTAACCAACATGTGATACATTTCTATTTTCCAGAGAACATCTGACACTGTAGACACTCAGATTTCATGTGAAGTCTTTCTCCCTCTTCGAAACTCACGATAAAAGTGTCTACTGGGGGTTCTCTTCTTCCAGTTGCACATTAACTACAGAACAAAGACTCTCTGTCTATAAGCACTTTATATTTCCCAATTATTTCAGAGATAAGGGGCTAAAAAACTGAATATGTCAAGCTGTAAAGATTCCTTTCTGACTCACTTCAAACACTGCAAAAACACGGACACACCTCAAAAACACACAGAAAATAATGCAATGATAGTGTCTCAGAGCTGAATGTGGTAGTATTGTACTCTTCTGAAATAATGAAATAGCATAACAAGTCCTTATTTAGGATCTGAACAGTGCAAGAGGAGGCTGTAACACAACAAATCCTCAAATGGCATAAAAGAAGACCACTAATTCATGTCGGTGAGACTAGCCAAAATGTCGGTTGTTATCCTGTTTTTCCTTCTGCCTTTTAATCTGAGGAATAGTGTAGAATCGAGAGGTGGGGGACTACTCACGACATGGTCTTCATCTCCTTCTTCTCGGCGTCGGGGCGAGCGCGGTTCAGCACCTTGAGGAACTCTGACGTCTTGGCCCTCATGCGTGTGTGGATGTAGGCCTGCGGAGGAGAGGACGTTACGTATGATAAGGAGGTCCTCATGGCACAAACATTGTTTATTTATCAAACACACAAGATACAGATGTCAACTTTTTATGTGGAGACAATAGCAGGTGTTTTTACAAGGGTGTAATCACCCAATGCTTCAACCACTCATTAATCCATCAAGTAAGGCTCCGGCTGCCGGCATTTAAAGAACAACTCAAGAGCCGAAAACAATCCCCTGTCATGAGTCATGTGAAGAATGGCTTTAATTAGGTTTTACAGTCGAGAAGTCTCCATATCTTGTTTTTAAGTGTACAGTGATGCCCACGCGCTTCCTCAGAAAACCTGTATGATGAGAGCGTCGCCACCAGTCTGGACTCTGTCTGATCTCCCCTCATGGACAGACTTTCTACCATGAGAGTTACACTAAAGAGGCTGGGATGAACTTTACAAAAGGTTTTAGGACTTGTTTTGCATCCTGTGTTTAAAGCAGACTGACAGCCTGTTGTGCAAGTATTTGATAGGGCTCTCTTTATTTGTTTAGGGGCCTGAATTAACGTTGGGACCAAGAGAATGACAAAACCAGTTTTCTGAAAGTTCAAACATTTAGAGCGTGTGTTTTCCTTTACTTCAAAGCTATATCTGTAGCAAACAAATGTATTTTTAAACCTTTACGATACAATTTGTAAGCCAGGATATCTCTGAAGCTCTACAATACTTCATATAAAGCCTTTTAACTGATATTTAACAAATATTGGGCTTCCTGTGATTTGAATATGCATCAGTCCATATTTAGATTTCGATAAAAATACTGCAGCATTATTCTGTTGTGGTGAGGTGTCACTGACCTTGGAGCACTTTATGTGGTAGTGCAGGTAGTCCCTGAAGGTGTGGATGAGGTTGATGGTGTTGTCTCTGGCATTGGCATTGGTGTGACGAGGGAACAGGACTGTGAACATTGAAGCAGAGCGTCAGTATATGATAGGTAGATCAGTTAGAAGAGCTCCAGCTGGTATGTGACGCGCACTGACCGAAGGTGATGTATCCGATGTTGTCCCCGACAGCGGCGTCCGTGTCCTTCAGCTCCAGCGGGGGCTCCCGGTGGCTGAACAGCACCTGGGGGGCCGTGTGGCTGGCTCTCCGACCCTCTTTGAACTCCTACAGGGGGGACATTTACAAATATATGTTTTAAAACTTTAATATTAAACAAGAGACATAAAAAAAGAACACTGTTATATGCACGGGGCCTCACACACCTGCATGAAGACTTTGCCGATGATGACGTCGTCGTCGTCTTTGAACACCGTGCTGAACACCACCGTCACTCTGTCTTTCTTAGCCTCCAGATACCTGAGAGAAAGAAACGGTTTAAAAAAATGAAAATAGCTCAATTCCTCGATGACCTCTGTATGACTGTGTGTGAATGGGTGACAGCTGTATATGTAAAGCCCATTAAGGGGTTGTAAAGACTGTATAAAGCGCTATATAAAAGAACCATTTAGTTTAATTAAGGCAACAAAAGTATTGGTGAGGTCTAGGGAAACGTCACGGTTTGTGTTAGGCCTCTGAAACTGAAAAGCTCTCACGTACATGGACTCATCGTCTCTGTAGTGGACCACGGCCCTCTCCTCGCCCTCCTTGCCCTCTTCCTGAAACTTGAAGTACTTCTCGAACACGGAGGCGAAGCAGTTCCTCTTCAGCATCCCCGCCTGGTGGATCACCTCCTCTTTATTGGCTGGTAGCGCATCCAGGTCGTAGAGCAGGGACACGTTGTAGCCTGGGGAGGAAACGCAGCGACACTTTGATTGTACAAAATCTGACACTTTAATTTGAGTTTTTCTGAGAGAGGAACAGAGCTATCACAAGCTAACATCTACTTGGAAAATATGTTGTAGAAATGAGGAACAGAGAAACCATGCGGTGATTTAAAACTGATCTAATGTTAGCAGTACATTTGTGAGAACTTACCATCCTCTGTTGAAACCAGGAAGTCTCCATAGAGCCTCTTGAGCAGCTGTAATTAACAAACGACACTTATTTGAAGCAGTTCACCAGAAAACATGATAAAACAGCAAAAGAAAACCAGGATAAACATTTGAAAGGCTAAATCTTAGGCTGCGTTTTACTAAATAAAGCACAACGCGACGGTAAAAGCTTTTGAAAATTAGCTTGATTTTGCAAGGTGATGATACTTTGATGCTAGAAAAGAGAAAGGGTCCCGAGAGTGAAGAACATTGATAATTAAGTTCTTTCAAAGCCATCCTTTTATTCCTCGGGGCTAAGGAAGGGGGTTTAAGCGAGACAAGATAGGAGGACACTGTAGGAGGAGGGGAGGTATGTACTTTAACAAGAGGGGCCCCTCTAATGGATACCTGTTGCTGAGGAATGCAGCGAAAAAGACTTTGCAGTAATATGCAAATGTTATATCTTCGCTATGGGCGATAATGGAATAGAGTAAAGTATTCTTCCTCATTTTCGTTCAGCTCAGTTCTAACCAGAAAGGGGCCATATTTGTACTCTTGGTGGACTGATTTTGATTACCGTGAGTAGTGTTGCAACCATTGGATATAGAGAGCACAAGATGAAAATTATTATCTCTACTGTGGACAAAATCTTTTTCAAATAAATAAGCAATCTGTCCAATCTAAATGATCCAGAGTCGCCTAAATCTTCCAATAGACCCAAACTTAATCAACATTAGCCCACCAGGAGTACAAATAGTGGCATTTTCTGGGGAAAAGTGCCATGTTTGATACTGAAAATGACTCGATAACCCCCAGAACCACTCCAAAATTGTCCAAACCATTTTTTCACTATTTTCCACATAGGCTATAATTAGGGATGCTCCGATCGGGAATTTTGGCAGGATTTCTGCTTCACACACGTTGCTTACCGCTATTTTATTGTCTTTTTCGGACACCTTAAAATACCGCCAGACTGGTGAAGCCATTTTGGCGAGCTTGTCTTGCCGCGTACAGAGAAAAGTGTCATGTATTTTACGTCATGTGATCGGCTCTCCTGATCGGCCTTTATAGAGAGCACCGATCGATCGGCCGAGAGTGAATATCGGCCGATCGATCGGAGCATCCCTAGCTATAATGGGAATTCATTCTAATCAATGCAACTTGTCCTAATTGTGAAAATTGCTCAACATATGCAAGTTAGCATCCAGCAGTTTCTATATGCTGGGGACCCTTACTATACATTTCTAACCTAAAACTTTTATGGTACTCAACATTTCCGGACTACAGTCTGAATAACTGAATCTGATTCTTTTATCCCTCTGCTCTACAGTTTTAGGGAACAAGGAGGAAGTCTCTGGACGGCAGCCAACACACACACACACAGCGGCGGAGGCTGCTGCTCACAGTCAGCATTTCCTCGGCTGGGGTGAGTCACACACACTCACTTCCTGTTTCTACCAGAAGCCTCCGCAGCTGCTTTCTTCCTTACATGGCAACAGAGCCTCTGTGCAGAGGTGTGTGTGTGCAGATAGCAATCATGACCTCATTCTGACTTTTTAATACTCATTTTGACACCAAATCAGACGGAAATCAAGCTCATTCGCACGTTTGCCTATCAAAAAAGCTTTAAGTGTTGCAGCAGTTTGCATGGTGACAGCAGAAATGATCTTAATAATCAAATGTATATAATGAAAGCAACTCTGGACATGCACATGGAATATTTTGCAGGGGGTTTATTTGTGTTGCTCCCACATGTCATACCTCGTCAGCCCCATGCTCCTGCAGCTCCTTGTAGAACTTCAGGGAGATGCTGACCATCACTTTGGTCTTCTCCCCGTTGGGGTTGGAGATGTGGTACAGGACGCCATCGAAGTCTGCAGCAGAGAAAAACATTCTTTATGGCAACTTGGCTCGATTTTTAACAACTTAATTAGTAACCTCAATGCATTCCTGTATTTAAGATTATTTCAGTCAATTCGACATGTGTGATGTAACATTTAGTGTCATCTAGCAGCGATTACTGGCAGGACTGACCAACAGGGTTGATTTGCATAATAGGAACATCACTGCAGTGACAGCACAGCTAAAAAGAAAATATTTTGAGAGAGATAAGATATAATCTCACCTGCAAACGTTACATCGAGGCCCTCTGGCTTGGTGCTGCAAGGAGAAAAAAAAAGGATGAGGCATATGGAGGAATTTACATATTACTGTACAGTGTACATGCAATCTCTGTTAAAATGATCCCTCAGAATATCAACAAATGATGAGGAATTGCTTGCCATTTTAAGGCCTTACAAGATTTAGGAAGGTATAATCAGCATACTTTAAATATTTTCTGACATTTTAGACACTAAAACGACTTGGCGTGTAAACAATATTCATAAAATAGTAATACAATATTTGCAGGTATCATTAAGTCTGCCATTATATGATTTTGATTTAATTCAGGGGTCAACGATATATATGATAAGATAAGTATCGTAAGCCTACTTGTTACATGAATATGAATGTTGACATTTTCACTTTTGCATCCATAATTTGGGATATTTCATTGTATCGAAGTAGCTATTCAATTGAGAAAAGAATTAATCGATTATGAACATAGTTGTTGCAGCCCTGGATGCAACATCTGCCACAAAATCAATAACAGTTAATCACATTTCTTCATGCTCTGATTTCATTTTAACATGGATTTCTTAATGAATCACCTTGACAAAACCGTCTTTTCTTAAACCAGCAGAACACTATCAAGGGGACTCTCAGTTAAGTTGTACATTTCGACTTTTACTCAGGGGTTTCTGCAGCAGCTTGTCCAAACTGTAAGGAGCTGCAGCAGCACAGACGAGACTCAGCTTGACTACAGGAATGCGGAAGCTGCAGAGGGGCGATGGTTAGCTAACATGCAGCCGCTAACGGGTCAATCAGATAAGACTTAATTTAATAGAATCAACCAACTTTAAATTGCACATGTCCAGCCCTGCGTTGTTGTCATGTTTAATGTTGTGGTTTGACATCAGGATATCCAGCAGTCCATTATTAACGAGCTTAACCACACACACTGCGGTCTGCTAGCTACTGTTAATGATATGCAACCTCGTAAAACGTTTAATTTAACATTTGTAGGGTAAGTAGTTGCACAATTATAAAATATATTCTATATTTTACCCCCAGGGATTCTGGGAAAGCAGCCAGGGGAGATTACAAATGATAATAGGGGTTACAAATGGTGTCACAACACTGCCCGTGGTCAGCAGACACACCCCAGCTTTAGGCAATCCAGTCACGGACTATCAGCCAGATAATTCACGGTGTTATATTTCGGTAATTTTCACAACAAATGCGACCAATTAGCTGATTTGTGCAAAGCTGCAAACGCTGCATCCGAACACCGCTGTGCTTCATTAAAAGCAGCTTCATCTTCGGCAGAAAGCTAAAGGGGAAGCTAGCTGTCGTTAGCTCAATGCTAGCCAGGTGTAACAATGATTTCTTACCCGTTGGACGCGCCGTCAAACTTCAGCGACAGCGTCTCTTCTATAATGCGGTTATTGATCTCTAACAGGATCATGGCGGCGGACACCGGTGCGAGGAAAGGGGGAAGATCGGTGCTATTAGGTGGGATTAACCGCTTTGTGTCAAATTCTGCTAATTTTTTTCTTCCCTTGACAGACCGAACCGCTTCCGTCGAGGCTACTTCCGCCTGCCACTTCCGCGTATTTTACAATCAGGACCCCAACAGATGAGGGGGTCGCAAGGATGCCTGTCGTTAATTCCTAACTAGGATATTTGTCAAAATCAGAAACAGGTTATTTGCCAAGTAGATTTAAACCTCTATGGTTTAAACATGCGAGGAATTTGCCTTGATGTACATGGTGCATACATAAAACACAGTTAAAGAAGATTACAAAGTAAGAAAAACAAACAAAACAAAAATTAAATATAAAAAATATATATATTATACGATAAGATATAGAACATATGTACATGAAATCAAGATATACGAAAAACCAAGTACTGTATACTATTGCAAAGTACTTAGAATAAATACAAAATGAGTGCAGTATTGTTGTGGAAAGTGGAAAGCTGTGTAGATAGAGGGGTAGAATTTATCTAAATAAACTGGTCAGCTTTTAAATGAATGGATGACGGAGATTAACTACGTTGTTGTTCTGTTTTGCATCACCAACATGTCCAAATACTGCTATACAAAACAGGTTATTGCTTCTTCAAAAACATATTTATTCAGATCATAATTCATATATTGATTCTACACTTAAATTATTTGCTTTCTTCTTGAACATTTAACTTTTTAATTATTGCTGTTCTAACTACTTAAGCCTCAATTAAATATTTTTAATTTAATAGTCACATCAGCATTGGCCCAGATTCCTGTATGCACCAAAAGTCACTTGATTTTTGGTAATTGTTGTGGTTTACTCATAATTATATGTATTAAAATAGATAGTAAACAAAGTCATATTACCAATGGTTTGCTCATTTATGGTACATGTTGAACAAGGATTATAAAGTCTGATATATTTTAATTTTAAAGAACAGCAGTCGACAATACCTGAAATAATAATAATATGAATTAATTGATGGTGATGTTAGTTGTAAACTCTACTACCAAAGAGACATCTCAAATCAAAGATGGTTTTATTTAAATACATTTTCAAGTCATGCATTCATGAATGCAGGCTTTTACTTGTAATGATGTATTATAATGTGTTAATATGATCTCAAAATGTAAAATATTATACATGTATATCCCAAAGGACTATAGAAAACAAACAGTGAGGACGGCAAGGTGGGGACAGCAGAATACTGTCCAAAAGGCTGACCTTTGTCAAATAAAGAAACTCATAAAAAGTCTTATCTTATAGAAAAAAAACCTGAATACTGCCACACTCCCAACATAAACTAAATTCCAAGCTAGTTGGGGATTTAAAGACATGCAGCTTTATGCAGGAACTTATGCAAAAACAACATTTTTGATAAGAAGACAGATTATTAAGTAATAACACATCATAATGCTGTAATTTTTAAAACTCTTTCTTACATCCCGCTAATTTATATTGTAATTAAGTATGTTTTAAAGGGAGAAGCTCAGAACTTCATGTAGTTTTATAAAAGTGATATTGTATTGCTGTAGTGGAGTTGTTTAAATATACCAATAAATCCTGAATTCTTATAATGAATCTGCATTATTATTTATTTGTATTACAGAACTTACAAAACAGCAAAAACAAAAGACTTGTTTTTTCAGCTAAAAATTAAAAACCGGCCATGCTGGTTGGGGGACAGTCATGCTTCCTGACGGATGGACATAAGACACTGCTGTCTTTTGTGGAGCCTTTAAGTCTTCGTTATGAGACAGCTGGAGGGGTGAAATGTTAAATATTGTGCAATTTTCTACTCTCACCACCGGAATAAAGTTATTTACTGAGCCAAAAGGAGTCATTTTGTGTCTAGTTTGACTTTATAAAGGAGAGGTGCGTCAGTGTGGCCCTTTCATCAGCTTCCTCCTCTGTCATTACCAGGAAAGTGCACAGACATTTTAAGAGGCTGTTGCATTAACCTGTCAAAAGAAGAAAAACAACAAATATTTTTGTTGAATTGCAGACAAGCAAACATATGAATCAATGACACTCAGTGAACTTCAGAATCCATTGCAGTCAGTTTAATATACATTCAACTGTGCATTACGTTGGCTCTGCGTTGTCCGACCGAGGCATGGACCGAGGCATGGGTATCAAAAATAACAAGTTTTGAATATATGGGGATTTATTAAGTCTAACTTAAGCAATTACTGCCAACTAACATTAGTTTTACCACATTTTCTCTGCACTCTTACTTTAACTTTATTCATTAAAACAGAACACCTGGTAACTTATTAAAGCAGGACTCTCAGTATGGGAAAAAAACAGGGGAACAATGCTGGACTTATGCAACAGTAAGAATGAGAACAAAACACCTAACTCATTTCCAGAAAATGTCACAATAAAACACCTTACGTGCGGTAAGGGCCGGCCCTTGGCATGGCATAGCACACACACACACACACACACACACACACACACACACACACACACACACACACACACACACACACACACACACACACACACACACACACACACACACACACACACACACACACACACACACACACACACACACACACACACACACACACACACACACACACACGAGCATCAGAGCCCCCTTTAAAATGTTAATTCTTTACTTGTATTTCATGTGCATTTATGATAACATTTTCTATGTTTTTTTAAAGGGCAATTCCTGAGAAGAATTGGAGCACAAAAACAGTCTATTCATTTATTTCTGCTCGTCTTACTGCTTCTGCGTTACTTCTATTTTAAAGAGAACCCAGCAACAATCATTACTTTCACTATTAGTACCGAGGCTTTTTTATCATGTCAAAATGTTTCCCAGAAGAAAGGTATATTGCAGCAAAAACATTTGACACACATGTGCCGTAACATATTGGGTAAGGAAACAGGACATTGGGTCAACTCTCCGTAAAACATTAAAAGGGGCTCTGAGTGGCATTTAGGGGGAGAGCTGCGGTCGTCTTCAAAGTCCAAAGGTGAGTGCCTGAACTAGTTTATTATCATATGTGTTAAAGGGAGACTATTTTATAAAGCGATAAAGGCCAATTGTCTTTGACCCTTCCAAAAACTAGTATTGTGCATAATTTTTTTATTGTTTGCACCTTTTCTAAGTTGAATTTTGTCTGACGCTATACCAAGAGGGAAGGCAGCATAGGGGTTTGAATGCTTTACTAAATATTTTTAAAGGAATATTTCCCCCCAAAAATGGTGGTATATCAATTAGGCACTGTGTTATCTTCAGAGAACTTTGTTGAATGTGCTGCAACTGTTTGATCTAATGCTCTCAATCTGTTTTCCACCTATAGTCATGTCGTACTTCTTGAACTATGAGGAATTATTTCCGAATTATACCATCCATGAAAATCACACGCCCTACGTTGTGGATCCAAAGACGTTATCATGTGAGACAGAACCGCTGCCTGCGACACCAGCTCTCACGCTGTGTCTCATCCTCATAGCCATCTTTTTACTGGCCATACCGGGGAACCTGTTGGTTGGATGGGTGATCGGCACCAGCAGACAGGCGCTGACTCCATCGGACGTGTACTTGTTCCACCTGACGATAGCAGACGGTCTGATGGCCCTCACCATCCCGTTCTGGGCCATCGCGTTGCTTAAAGGATGGATCTTTGGGGACTTCCTGTGCAAGTTCCTCAACCTCGCCTTCGATGCAAACTTCTACACCAGCATCCTTTTCCTGGCCTGCATTAGCATCGACCGTTATCTGGTGATCGTGCACACGAGTGAGAACGTCGGGACTCGACAGAGGAAGAGCAGCCGGCTCTTGTGCGCGGCCGTTTGGGCCTTCAGTTGGGCCCTCGCTCTTCCCGCTCTTTTCAACGACGCCTTCAAGCGAGCCTCGGACTCAGAGAGGATGCTCTGCCACGAAACCTTCGACATCGGCAGCGCCACCTCATGGAGGAATGTCACACACGGTTTCCGCCATATTTTTGGCTTTTTGCTCCCTCTGTTTGTGATGATATATTGCTACAGCGTCACCATCGCCAAGGTGCTGCACAGTCGATGTTTCCGGAAGCACCGGGCCATGAAGGTCATCATAGCTGTGGTGGTGGTGTTCCTGCTTTGCTGGATGCCGTACCACACGACCATGATTGTGGACATCCTCATGAGGACGGATCTGATTAGTTTTGACTGTGCTTTGAGGATGGCAGTTGACCGGGCTTTGGTGATAACAAACAGCCTGGCTCTGTTCCACAGCTGCATCAACCCTGTCCTCTACGCCTTCGTGGGAGAGAAGTTCAGGAAGAAGATGATGCCGCTTTTTCAGCAGAAAAACAGACAGGATCGGGTGTCTAGGACCAGCAGGTCCACATCGCAGACCTCAGAAGGCAACGGAGCTGTTCTCTAAACCTCAAGTCAAGTCAAATATATTTCACAAATTCTCTCCTTTCATTTTTTGCTGCACTGCTGCCATCTATTGAATGTACTGTTGTTTACATGTCTACTATTGAACCGTCTCACTTTTCCAGCATCTGATTTCTTCTTAATCACCGTGACTCTGCTTTCATAAATCCAATGTTTCTGTGTTTATTGAAAAGCTGTGAAGTATGTAAAACTGTTATATAGGCCTACTGTAAATACTGCTGGTTTGTCAGTAAAACTCCAGAAATGTTTAGAAATGCTATTCACATTTCATGATCTGATATGTTCTTCATTACAAATAAAAGGCTTTGCAATGTTATCTGCACTGAGTTACACAATATTAACACTTCGAGCGATAGAATTACTAACAAAGAATGACTAACAAAGCACTTATATACTAATAAAGGACTGGCTTATCTAAAGCCAGTTGAGTAGCACTTGAAATGTTTTGGCTCTATGAAACCTGATGTACTTATATGATTCTGTTTTCTTCAAGTTTGTATCTTCTTGGTCGAATGCACTTATTGTAAGTCGCTTTGGATAACAGGGTCAGCTAAATGCAATGTAATGTAATGTAACATTATCAGTTATGTATAATATTGTAACATCATATTGTTATGCAACATGTAATGAATTTCATATTTTATCATAAGAAGTATCTTTAAATATTTGTCTTGGTTAAAGTTTTTATCCAGCAGAGGGCGAGCAAAACACTTGCAAAATAAAAAAAAACGAACTATTGCACGGACATAATCGTCACTGTGTGTCTTCTTACATCGTATTATATATTTATAAATCCAGTTTAATTCACTTTTAGTTGAGAAATCAGGGTTTTACCAGCTTTGTCGCAGCAGTTAAATTGCTGAACTACATTTCCCAGAACTCCTTGCGATGACAGAAGAGCATGCTATCAGAGACTGGGGCAGCTAAAAATTAAACTGCTGCATTCAGATGGACCACACGAGGTATGAGACGTTTTATCAATTCCTTGCATACTAAAAATGACAAACAACTATAAAGTGTTTTCTTGACATGTAGCCAGCATGTTGTTTCGTACACGGGCTGTCAGTTACTTTCTCTGAAGCTAATGTTTTTATCATTTTTGTGGCGAAAAACAGCAAAGAGACTGCATTGTTGTCATAGTTGTACACTGTTAGCCAGCTTGCTAGCTAGCTATAACTTCGCACCTGGGTCATAAGTGCTATTAAGCGATTGTACGCATTTTAGTGTCGTTGTGACACAGAAACAATATAACCTTTTAGCACTGTTAGCTCATTAGCAGCTAACTCACTGTGTTTACTATGCACTGCTTGTGTAACTTGTTTGCTTTGCACCTAAAAAAATTGACACGTAACGTCAGGCCAAGAAATCCATCTCTCAGGAGCACATTTCCATTTTAATTGTAATGTGTTGACATATGTTTATAGATATTTCGTTTTTTATCTTGTTTCATTTTTATTTATTACTTTTTGAGCAATAGATATGCTGTAACAAGCGCATTTGCCCACCGTTTAATCAATAAAGTGTTATCTTATCTTTACTGAACAGTTTGTTGGAAAGCCCTGATTTTTGTTTGACAGAAAAAGGGTAAATAATCCAAGTTCCAGTTTATTCAACTAATTATTTGCATACTATTTTATGAATAGTTTTTGACTGCTGGGTCTAACAAAACAAGCTGTTGTGATGGGCATTTTCCAGTGTCTCTCATAATTTATATACAAAATAAGCCACATATTTATTGTCATCATTTTTAATTGTAGCCATGTTAAAGAAAATTAAGCTACAGTGTAATGTCACCTTTCTGCACAGTGTCAAAATAGTCTGATTTACTGACAACATTGTTATCTTTTCAGGTTAACAATGACACCAGACCAGGCCGCTGGATAGAAAATGTCACAGTGTGGAATGGAGCAAAGGTCAACATTTTCTTCTACATGCAAATGGCAGCATGTCGCATTTTAACCACCCTACTAAATGGATATATTTACACCATTCCTGTCATGGAGACGAAGTCTGGTTGAACCCCACAACATTTTGTTTCCTCATTTCATTTAGGCTGCTGACAAAACAAATCCTCACATGGTGATTTAACTCGGCAGGAAATAGAAACACTGCATCACAATGGTCGCTGATGACACAGCAGGGAGTGGGGACAGATCAGAGGGGGAAAAAGAGATGGACTTGAAGGAAGATGGAGACGTGGAGATGGTCGTTCCTGCTTCCGAGGACCCGTCTCCCCCCGAGGGTCCCACAGAGGCAGCCATAGAGCCAAGGAAGTGGAAATGGGGCGTAATATTCCTGTGTTTCTTTGGGTTTATGTCATCGATAAAGCCCGGGGAGCCTTTCATTACACCATATCTACTCAGTACTGAGAAGAACTTCACAAGGCAAGAGGTAAGTGGTGGCATGTTTAAAAAAATAAATAAAAATGAAATACAGGATATATCTCAGTCATTGTATTGCAGAGTTAATATGCAAGATATACTAACTTGAAAGTAAAGAAGTAAAGTTAACCCGTAAGAGTCTTTCGTAAGGTTGTCTATATGCAGTTAGGCACTCATTACACAGCACTTTCAATGAATGTCCTGTGGAGACTGAGAGTCTGCTGATCCATCTTACTGCAGGTCAAAGTTCACATTTCTCCAAACTGCTATGTGAAAAGTGGATCGGGGACTTTTAGAGTTTCTTTTTCTCAAATTGACCTCATACCAAGATTTGATTTCCTGTAATCTAGAAACTAGACATTTCCTGAAACTAGATGTTGAAAACACTCTATGTTAGGCAATTTTACAGCCAAGCCATAGTGCTTATTTTCAAGAAATAAGCTGCTCCTGACTTAAATTGTAATCAGCTGGGATTACATATGTATACAGCATTGTTATGGATAAAAGTCAGACATGACCTGTTCTATATAAACCAACTTCACTATGTCTCCAATATGCAGGAACAAATGTACGTTATCCTATATTCTTCTTGTTTAAAAGTTCAATTTTCCAGATTAATTGTACCAAGCAAGCATGGAATAAACTCCACAAGCATTTTAAGGAGTTTGTAGTAGTGCTTACATGTTATAATACATTATATTGCATCAATTTAATCAGAAGTGCACCTATCATTTTTATTTGCTCCTCTGCGTATAATACAGTACCACAAACATGATGTGAACTAAATTTGTAGCCTTCACCCGCCTCGCTGATTTATTAATTGACTATTCCAGGTGACCAATGAGATCACTCCTGTGCTGACGTACTCCTACATGGTTGTGCTGGTACCGGCCTTCCTGCTGACCGACTTCCTGCGCTACAAGCCGCTCCTGATCATCCAGGGCATCAGTCAGGTGGCCATCTGGATCCTCCTGCTGCTGGGCACTACCCTCCTACAGATGCAGTTCATGGAGTTCTTCTACGGCATCACCATGGCGTGCCGCGTGGCGTACTCCTCCTACATCTTCTCCATGGTCAGCCCCGCTCTCTACCAGCGAGTGGCGGGATACTCGCGCTCCGCTGTCCTCCTGGGGGTGTTCACCAGCTCGGTGCTGGGACAGATATTCATCTCTGTCGGCCGAGTCAGCTTCTACACCCTCAACGCCATATCTATAGGCTTCGTCAGCTTTGGTCTGATGCTGTCCATGTTCCTCCCCTGGCCTAAACGCTCCCTGTTCTTCAACCGGACACAGAATCAGGAGCAAAAGGAAGTGGCGGCAAAGTCAGAAGTGGCCCTCATGAACCCGAAAGAGAAACCCAAGTCACGCTGGAGGGATTCTGTGTTACCGCAGATGCTGCTGGAGCTCAGAAATGTTGTGAGGAAGCCCAACCTGAGGCTCTGGTCCCTGTGGTGGATCTTCAACTCCACCGGGTACTACCTGGTCCTGTTCTACATTCACATCCTGTGGAACAAAGTCTACCCGGCCACGGAGAACAAGAACGTTTATAACGGGGGAGTGGAGGCAGCTTCTACCCTGCTGAGTGAGACTTTTATTCAGATACAGTTTGTATTTGTGGTTTTGCACAATTTGAAAACCAACATAACAGAGAACCGATGATATACAGTGCAGGAAGACACACTGGGCTTATTTAAAGCCTCTACCTAAATAATGCCATAATGAGAAAAACATATGCGTGCCTCTGCATAATGTCAATATTAACCACCAAGACAACAATATTGCGTTGAATCCAGAGATCAAAGTCTGAGGAATTACGTCAGTTGTGAAAACGATGTTGACTGCTCGTTAAACTTTTTATTCTGCTTAGCGGTTACTTCATGTTTCGTCATCCTTAATGGCCCTTTAATCAGCTGTAACGAACAAAGGTAGCAGTTTAAATAACCTGGAATTCGTGCAAGCAGTAAAAGTTATGTTGTAAAAAAAGAAACGGCTAAGTAAATAATGAACAAAACTTCCATATAAATTGAAGTTAATCTCCTGGTTTGAACAAAATCTCTTTACTTTTGTTAAGCAAACAGATGAAACACATTGATGGCTACTACAAGAGTTAAATGGACGTCTCTCTCTCCCTGCAGGTGCAATCACCTCCTGCGCCGCCGGCTTTGTGACGATCCGCTGGAACGTGTGGTCCGAGCTGGTGATTGGCATCATCACAGCGCTGCAGGCGGCTCTGCTGCTCCTCATGAGGACCACCGACAACATCTGGATCTGCTACGCCGCCTACGTCCTCTTCAGAGGCTTCTACCAGTGCCTTGTGCCCATTGCCACGTGAGTCACAATTAAAACACGTTATCAAAACACATTTTTGATTGATTAGGGGTGTAACGGCCCCTACACACGGCGGCATGCGTTGAAGCTTCAACGCTTCTGCCCATTCACTTTTTATATTATATGTAGGGGTGTAACGGTTCACAGAATTCACGGTTCGGTACGTACCTCGGTTTGGGGGTCACGGTTCGGTACGGGTTCGGTACAACAAGAAAAAGCTAAAAAAAGTCCCAAATGCCTAATTCCAGGTTTCTTGTTATTTATTTTTAAACAGTAGTGCAAGTTTCAGTTTAAAAATAAGGAACTCTAACATTTTGAATAATTAACTTTATTACACAGTTAAAAACAAACCACACACACTCAGATGGCAAAATATTACAAAATAAATAATAAAGTGTTTCAAGCCGTTGAAATATGCCAATAGCTTCCGTTATTTATTTTGGTTTCTCGGCTTTCATGTCTATTGGCTTCTTAAAAACAGCGGGGATAAGCTGTTGAACTGTCTTTTGCCGGGCTCCGGTGATTGCCAAATCTGGGTGATGCCTTCTGATATGATTTAGCATGTTTGGCGTGTGTTACCATTAGCATACCGCACCGCTGTCCAACAACGCCGGCACACCGTCCTCGTCCGATCCACCACTCGCACTCCATCGTTATTGTAGTCCACAGGGAACCCGAAATGTTCCCACACAGCTGATTTAAAAGAAGCAGGTGGGTCTTCTAGCTCCTGTGTGTTATCTGAACTCGCCATACTAACTTTTATTCTTCTTGTATTTTGTTCGTTTTGTTGTTGTGTTTCTTCTTGTTCTTCATTTGTTGTTTAAAGGAAACCTATCATGCTATATTTAAATGATATATTGTAGGGCCATACCTATATAAGGTATATTTATACGTTTCTGTTTTCAAAATACCAAACAGATCATGCATTTTAGCCATGCCTCATTTTGCTCTATGTGCTGTTTGCTGTCTACGGGTCTGATTCTGCTGACCACGCCCCCCTGCAGGAGAGGGGAGACGTGCTCTGATCAGCTGCTGGGCTGTCAGAAGAGGGGGAGAAAAAGAGATCTCCGTCCTCGTATTTTATTATATAGAGTCGTTATTCATTTGTTTTAAAGCTCAATAAATAACAAAGAAGACCTTTGACCGGCACTTTTCTAATTTTGTCCGGAAGATTTAAACTTTAACGGACATCTTGACCGGCGAAACAAACTGAAACTGAAACTCTGCCGCACGGTCCCCTCGTTCCTTGGAAGAGGCGGAGAGGTGGGTGTTTGTCATCTGCTGGTGGACTAACCGGAGAGAATTACAGTGCTTGCCTCGACGGGGAGGGATTGCATTGCAGCGGGAGCAAACGCTTGCCTCGGGGAGGGAGAAAGAAAGCCACAGCGGAGAATAAACAGAAGGGTAACCATGGTAACCAAGTCTTCTTCGCTGCTTTTGTGGCAGACTACAGCGCCACTTAGAGGCCTGTCATATGTACTACAGCGTCTCCAGCGCCTCCTCCTGATTGGTGGAGTTGGCCCAATAGCCGTAGCGCCACCGTCCTGACGTCAGGACAGTGTTCAAATCTGGATCAGTTTTTATCAGATCCGTTGCAGCCCCTTTTTTAGAGATTTGGGTATGGAGGAAAATAGAGAGGGTTGTGTTTTCTGTAATGGATACTGCCCTGAGTAATGACAGACTTTTTTCCCACTCATAAAAAAATGTGCCGCACCGTGACGTCCGAACCGTGACGGTACGGGACGAATATGGATACCGTTACACCCCTAATACTGATGCATCCGTTCTTTAATCCTCACAGGTTCCAGATAGCCTCGTCTCTCAACAAGGAGCTGTGTGCCTTAGTGTTTGGCATCAACACGTTTTTTGGGACCATACTGAAGAGCATCATCATCCTCATATTTGCTGACAAGAGAGGCCTGGGGCTGGAGGTTCACTCTCAGGTAAAACAGACATTAATTACCTGAACGCTGGCAGTGTGTGTCCTTAGATGTGCCTCATACCACCAGTACATCAATTAGTAAGCTTTTATTTCACATTGTTACTTTAGCTTGTGTATTATGGTGATTAACGCGATAACATTTTTAAAATGCTTGACTCCACTCATTTAAAGATGTCTCGTTTCTCTTACAGTTCCTGGTGTACTTCGTTTACTTCACCATCCTCACCGTGGTCTATCTGGTCTGCGCCGCTGTGGTCATCATCCGTCACTATAGAAACGAGGCCAGGGAAGGGGGCGGGGCCGACAAACAGGCCACGCCCACAGAGCTCAGCCCGGTGACTGCGGACTCAGAGGTAGAACCTTTATCTAACGGCAACAGTGCCAAAGCTTAACGACAGGAAGTGTTTTCGACGAATATCTGACGTACATGAGTTTTTACTGGGTCTGATGTCCACAGAGGAGACTAAAGTGAGTCTTAATCATTAAGTGCCTTCATGAAACTTTTTGTAACTGAAAAGAGTACATTTTACTTGTTTTATTACTTTATACCAAGACAAATCATCTTAAGCACAGGGCGTTTTATTTCGTTTTTTTTTTTTACAGGATGCTGATCTGTACTGTTTCACTGATCTAAAACGCTGCGCCATGATTACTATGTGATCACTCTAAAACAGCTTTTCATTCACACTCCTATCCTACCTAATGTTACAAATAATAATAAGTGCCATTTTGAATAATTTTTTGATATTTTTTAGTAAGATACAGTTTACCTTTCTGTATTAAAAAAAATCCCATTTTACATAATTTTCGTATAATCAGATTAATTTAAGATGCAGATTTTATGTAGCATGTTATATAGTGTGATTTATTTGTATTGAATATTTCGGACAATAGGAAAACGTAGCAGCAGTCAGTAGTTTTGCTGCTTATTGGCTCATTTTTGGTCCAAGTCCAACTGTTTTCTTTAATAAAAACCTGCAGGAAAAAGAACAGAGAACATAGGAACACATGAAACTATTATTGATGAAACAGGAACCACAGACATTCAATAATTTTATAAAAATGCTGATTTTTGTCCCTTATTTTAACACAAGGAATTTTGTTTTGACTTGCATACAGAATGTATTATAATTATTGATTGAAATCATTGTTGAAATATAATGTGACTGTGAATCTGTCCGACTGCTGTAAAGGAAAAACACTGACTTTAATCAAATGTTTATTTCTTCTTCTTTTTTTTGTCACAAATAAAATAACCTTTGGTGGAAAAAAAAGACTTTAATATATATATTTTTTATAACATGAATCTATTCCCTGATACTGAATGTGTTGCTAAATTGTCAATTTCAAGGATAATGCCGGTAAAAGATATACAAGTAAAAAATGTTAGATGTTGATAATTGACTTTCTTTGTAAGAGTTGTTTTTTCAGCTGCAGCCTCAGCATGAAGACAAGAGACTCCACCGATTATTTGTTTCTCTGCGTTTCTTAGGAGGTACATTTTTGTTTTGTTGCTACAGCTGAACACTGGCGTCTGACAACATATCTTTTTTTAAATGTTAAACTGCTCATCTTCAGGTTCATATTAGTATTTTTACCTCGGTCACATGTCTCCATGCTTTAATGACCAAAAAGGTATTTATTTGTCTCATACTGCAGCACCTCTTTTCACCCTCTGTCTGAAACAAATATACAATATAATCTGCAAGGTAATTTATAGGGTTATTCATATCAAACATAACAATGACATTTTAAACTCCTTTTATTCACAAAACCTTGTTGAAGACAAATTACACACCATCACTCTTAATAAGTCTGCAGCGGCTTGAAGTGACAGTGAACTGTGTCAACTTGCTGCCCTCAAGTGGATACATGTTGTACTATGTTTTACAAAAATGAAAGACAGAAGCCTTGTAAATAGTTATAAAATAATAAGGTCCATTTCAGGATTATTTTCTTATAGTTTTATTACACACACAGCCCATACAAAATCCCTTCAAGCAAACATCTACATTGTATAAATCTACAATAAATACTAAGCTAAAAGGGTGTAACGTGAAAAAAAAAGTCTTCAAACGTTTAGTAACTCACATCTATTGCATCCACAGACAAACCACACATTTCAACCAATTCCAAAATAAAAGCAGAGAAAACAATCTGGTAAATGATAATAACCATTAATGAAACCCCACAAAAAATATCTGACTTGAAATGTCTTTGTACGCCTCTCGTAGTATTCGCTGCATTACAGTACAATGCTTTGCTTGTTGGACACAATGGCGTCTCCTTCCCCCTCTGATATCAGTGCACTTCCTCCCCAGACACACACTCTCCTCTCCAACACTGTGAGGCTGCTCCAGAAAGCTCGAGGTACTCGTCGGTGTCAGGTATGATGTCTTATCTCAGGAAAGGGAGCTTTGCAAAGGTTTCCTGGCATTGTCTAAGCTTCGAGGCCCCTCGGTGCCTCATAGGAACATCCCAAATCTCTCCTACTATTTATTTCTGCACTGCAACTGTAGTGTTCAGCAGTAACTTCAATACTTCCCTTCCAAGTATTTTAAAAGTAACATTTCTGCTTTTAAATGCTAAATGTTAAATATTTTGGCACCTATCCTTTTTCCCTTTGAGTCAGCATTGTGGTCGTCTAGCCAGAAAGTTCCCCTTTTATCCCATTTGAAAGACATTTTTATAATACGTCTTGGTTGTTTTTAATTATAAACGTGATCCTAATGGAAGGTTTTATCAGCAGAGGTTGTTATCAGAGAAATACGCTTATTTTGTGTTTATGGCAACTGCATTGGAGAAACTGTTTTTGAACATAAAAGTGGTATATTTAAAAACCGTCTTTATTTAAAAACGTATCCTAACGACAAAAAGCTGACAGTATTGACAGAAATGGACTCAATCAAACTCTGTCTTTAAAATGGTTTTTACTGGTCTTAAAAAAGTATTTTAGACTAATAAAGTGGACCTTTGTATCCACTTTTGTCAGTTTTGTGTCTAAAATATATATTTATAAAAAAAAGAATTATATTATTAATTATAAAAAACATTTCCCTCACTTTTCTGCTTCATTATGATTTGAGGCATGTAGCTGCCACCACTATTACACATTGTTCAATAATATATGTACTGTAAATACATATATCTACATTTCCTCTTCATGCCCGGCGTTTGGTTTCATCGGTGTCTCTGTCAAAGAAAGTCACATATATTGTTATATATCGATTTAGATGAATAGAAAGTACATTTAGAGACTAGCAGGGCATTTGTTTGAGTATCTTACCTTCTGTTAGTCCCTCTTGAGCAGCGGTGCCATTAGATTCAGCAGCATCTGTTTCTGTAGTAATGATATGGTTGTTTTATTACAATATAGAGTTAGAAATGAATAATACGGGAAACTGACAGAGTGAAACCTACGTGGCTTCCTCCAGAAGTCTGTAGTGGTGGACAGAAAACACATGACAGAAGAAGTTATGTTTACATGTCCATGGTTTGAAATGTAAAGCATTGCGGTGTCCATAAGTGAGTTTACTGACCTGCTTCCCATGGCATGGATGCTGCAGAGAGAGAACAGAAAATAAAGTCATGATTTATCACGTTTTCTTTCATACTGCCATGTCAAATTCTACCATACATCATGCTGCCGTATCCTACATTTCCCAGAATGCCTTTCAGATAACCCCTTACAAAATGGTCATACATTAATGGACTTCACTCTTTATTTATTAAAAGCTACATAAAAAAGTATTTTAAGTCTACATTTTAAATGCTTTGAAAGATGTCTTACCTTTTTCAAAGAACCACATCCCTAGAGGAAATCAAACAAAACCATTAAATGTGGTACTTATCTCTTTATTATCAGACGTATTTATAATGCAGACACCTCTTCAACAAAATCGACTGGATAAGCCAATTCCAAATATTAACATAATTAACTAAAAACAGCACTATATATTTCAGCCAAAAACCCATATTTAAATCTTTTTTTCCACATTTTCATAAAGGCTAAGATGTAGTGAGCAAAGATGGATGTTTTAATATATGAACAAAACTAAATAGTTCTGACTTTTCTAGCTCCATTTATTTTTCTGGTAAAGCTTAATATAGAAACCCATTTTGCAGATTGTATTTTTCTCTTAAACGAGACATGTTGGATTTCCAGTCATTAAATGTATGGCAGTGTGTAAATGCTGCACTTGATAGGTCAATGGAAGTAATTGTCTTATCATTGGATATCATTTAATTATAGGAGTAATAACATACTTTAACATTATTTTCGGATTACTTTCGGCACAAATGTGTCCCTGATATGGTGTTATGTTTCTCACCTGCTTTAATTCTATGAATGATAGCGGTCAGGATCACAGCTACCAGCAGAACGATGAGGACTGTGAGTCCTGCGGACATGTTCAGCTTTCCTGCAGGTGATGTAAAAGACAACAGCAGGCTTTATATCAGAGGATATTCTGGATAAAAACGAGATGAATCAGCAATTAAATCTTTGTGTAATAACTCACGAGTGAAAGGGTTTGAAAACGGTTCGCTGTGCTGTTGACTGACCGGGTTGTTCAGCCAACATTCAAACGTGCTTGAACTTTCGTCCTAGAAATGAAGATCAAAAGGTAGCATTAGCTCACATTTATACAGATATTTAACACTAAGTTTGTGTTACAAAAAGTGTTGATGCAATAACTAAAGAAATTAATAAGATGGCTAGTCGCAAAACAATATACTAAAGTGCTTTTATTTGCAGCAAAAATTGTGAAAACCGAAATGACAAGAAAGAACCACACATTTATATATACAGTACAGCTCTCAGAAAATGTTAACAGGTACCTCTCTACAGCCAACATCAGACTCCCCCAAAGCCACTTATATGCATTAAGACCCTCCCCATAGGCCAATCAACTATTCATCAACTTAATTATTGTAATTCTAAATAACTACAAATGTATTCCAATAAAAATATTGTCACCCATGCCCATGCACTACTTGGTACGGTTCAATTGAGCCCAGCTGTTAGCAGTTATCTGTTGTTCAGTTTGGAACCAGAGGGTAAGCAGATGTCGAATGATATATATTCCCCCGAGTAATTGCGATATTTTTCTCATTTAAAGACCATTTTATGCAACTGATGTAATGGGTAAAAAGGTTCTGGGTAACCAACAGAGACACACACATCAACACACTTTGCCGTTTAAAATACCTTTGTAATGTTTAGCACAGGAGTTGTAACAGAATGATCTGTATTCCATACATATTCGACCGGCTCAGCGTTGGTGATGATTGCATTGCAGGTCAACGTACACTTGGTCATCTCTTCGTCACATGTTTTACTAACAGTGGGTTTAGGAACGGGAACTGGAGATCAAATATAAAAAAACAGGCCTTTTATAGTCATGATGTAGCAGATAACCCTATTTTAAACACCAAACCTCTACACTGTTAACTTGATTTTAGTGTGTGTAATCGAAGCACTTACGGATGACTATGAGACGTGTTGGATACTTGCAGGGCAATTCGTTAATTTCTGCTGTGTATAATCCACTGTCATTAAGAGTCAGTCCTCTGAGCGTCATCTCTCCAGTTGCATTGTTCAGGGCACCACGCTCTTTAAAAAGACATAAACATGGATAGGGTTAGATCATCAATTAAACTCAAGGACATATTTGACCCCACAGAGCTGAACTCCGCTCAGTATACCTTTGAAATGACGATACGAGTCAATACCCTTTCCATCCCATTCGATGGCGAAGTCAACCCCTTTTTTCCACAATATCCCCGTGATGGTCTCGGAGGGGCAGCCCGGTTTGAAGTCAACTTCATCGCCCACCTGCTTGTAGACTTTGATCTCTGCAGGGACAAAAATATTGCAGATTTTCTAAACATCCTTTTAAATTATTCACTGTACTCTTGTTAAATTATGGAAGTAGGTGAGTCTAATAAGAGACTCAAAAAGATAACAATAATAGAAGTTTAAAAAAAAAAGGATTATTAAACAGAGGGTTAAAACTAATTTGTGAGTGTAATTTACTTGTATATTAAAGTATAATCTAATAGATTACTTAGAAAATATTCAAAAGTTGCTCATGAAAATATCCAAATAAACTTTTAAAGGATAAAATGGGGAGGAACCATAACATCCTTATGCTAAACAAGTGGGAACACATTATATATTGATTCTTGATAGATAATAAAAGGAAGCAACTACTTGCTGCAATCATACAGTATTTTATTATATTACTTGTTATGCTCTTCTGTATTATCTTGTCTTTCCAAACTATATATATTATATTGTTTCCATTTACCTTAGATTTGATTAGAAATTACCCAAAACAGACAAACTTGTATTAAATGTGTAATAATCATAGATAAACATAAAAACAAATGCTTTACTCCAAAACATTAATAAACATTGTTTTGTTTTTTAAATAATATGACTCTTTATATTGGAATGGAAATATTCACCCAGTTTCTAGTACATTAGATTACTGCTTTCTGTGAGGCTTGATAGACATGTTCAGTATGTTCTAATCTAGCATATGTAGATTAGATATACAAGTTTCTGTGTGTAATTAACTACATTAACTAGCTCTCTACTCTAAAAAATAAATATACTATTTCCTGCTTTATTCAATTACACCCCTTCCTTGTTCCTAACTGTTCTTTGGTATGATAACTTTTTTGTTTTACACAGTTGTATTAGTTTCCATTCAGTCCCCCCCCCCCCCCTCTAATGCCCTCTGTAGTGTTTACAGTTGATATCGCTTTGCTCTGCTGTTAATGTAGTTATCGCTGCATGCTGGTTCTCACAGGCCAGGGTGTGGTCCTTGATAACGAACACTTCCATTCTGCTACACAACTTGCACCCTAATATAACGCACACTTATACGGATGAAACCCTTTATAGCTACGAAGTGAACCAGCCGTAATAACCTTACCTGAGTCTACGGAGACGACAGCCGGGAACACGCAGAGCACACCGGCCACAATCATGGAGAACACAGGCGGCCACATCTCCGTCGGTTAAACTGTCAACAACAAGATGGAAACTAAACTGCTTCTGTTGTGAGCCGAGATAAGCATGTCAATTTAAGTCATATTAAGGATGAACACATTACAAGCAGAGATTTCCGGATTAAATCAAAGTGAGTGATCAATTGTGGGAGAGACTGAAAGTGAAAATTGTGACTCAACAGTCTCCGCCTCCACCGGGACAACATATTTGTAATAGTCTTTATTAGAATTTAAATAGTTTCATAATCACTATATATGCGTTACAGGCCATTGCGATAACTTATATAGTTATTTACTGCTGTAAAAGTATTAAAAAATACCCCCAAAATTACAAAAACAAAAACAAAAACAGTCTAGTGCCATCTAGTGGCCTGATGTTGTTACTGCAGCCGGAACAACTACAGGCTATTTAAGTGGTACATTTTGGGAGTTTGCTAAATGTATTGCAAGAATTCTCCACTTCAGAAACACGTTTATCATTATATTAAAAATGTTGTTTGTTCATATATCAATACATTTTTATTACATAACATTGCATTTAGCTAACATAGTGGAAACAGGCAAAGTAATAGCAAAATTAACTTGAGTTACATTTAGTTACAGGTTTTCTGGAGCTGCACGATGACCATTTACAACAATTCTATCTAAATGTACACTACATTCCTTTTTTAAGTGATGAAAACAAAGCTCAGCATGCATGTAGTAACAACACAGTGACAGGATTCATTCATCCTGCAGCTCCTCCATGTTTATCGTCTCCAGCTGCAGCCACAATCCTCCCTCTGCACGTAGCACAAGTTGGGGGAGACGGCGGACTCCCCCTGAACTGCTCCCCATTTCAGGGTCAGATCCCGGGGTCAGACGAAACTTGAGCAGGGTCAACGCCACGACGACTCGCAGCTCTGCCAGGGCGAATTTCTGACCAATGCAGTTCCTGTGAACACATACAGTACAGACTCTTAAACAGCTATAATCGTTTAGATCTTATTTACCTTGCAGCATTGAGGACGCAGTACCTGGGGCCCGAGGAGAAGGGGATGAAAGCGTGAGAAGACCGGCCCTCTGTGTTGGCAGGCTCAAAACGCAGAGGATCAAACTCCTATGAGAGAACGTAACACAGGTCAGAGAGGACAAAGTTAAACCAAAGTGAAAGGTTAGGGTTATTTCTTACGTGTGGGTTTGTCCAGACAGCAGGGTTGTGGTGCGTCCCGTAAATACTGACCAGAGAGATGGCACCTTGGAGAGACCAACACAAAGAAACAAATACTTTAAGAAAATGTGGTCATTTTCTGTCTCTTTCTGTGCGACTTTGTGGTGTTTTTGCCCCTAAAATAAGCTTATTGTACTTTAAATCTATATAAAAAGCTCTTTCTCTCACCCTTGGGTATGGTGCGGTTGCCGGGCAGGTCCATGTCTTTGGTGTACTTCCTGGTTACAGCCACCACAGGAGAGTGCAGCCGCAGAGACTCTCTGATGCACATGGTGGTGAAGGGGAGGTTGGTCAGATCCTCCCTTTAGATATAGATAACCACATTTAAATTCCCACCTTAATATAACACACTTTCAACTGCATTTCCATCTCCTATTAAGCATTTCTGTGTATTTTCTGACCACTGTATTGCATGTGTTTCTCGTCCTTGCATCAGATCCATCACTTCCTGCCTGCAGCTCTCCTGATGGTCTTCGTGGCGCGCTAAATTATACAGCGTCCAGCTAATCGCACTGGCTGTTGTGTCGTGACCTGTGGAAACAGAAGCACACTTTTCAATCCACTTTTAAAGTCTCAAAGAAATCGATTGTATGATAAGAACATTAAAGTGAATGCACTTGTGTTACTAATTAAATAAAGTTGCTTCTCACCTGCAAACATGAAGGTGTTTGCATCCGCCTGAATCTCCTCATCTGTGAGGCCTCGTCCGTGCTCATCCTGTGGATAGACAGAATTGTTTGTAAGGAATCACAGACCAATAACTTAGAATTATACAGTGTATATATACATTTGATCTGATTCTTATTTCTTCTTCTCTCCTACCTTTGACAGCAGTATGATGTCCACAAAATCTTTCTTCTTCTGTGGTGCTGCGGGGAAATCTGCTCCTGTCTTCTTCTGCTGGCTGATCAGGGCTCGACGCTTCTGAACCACCTCCATGGTAAACCTGTTCAGATGTATAAAAAACAACAAAGCGATTAGTGTTGGTTTTGAACACGTGAAGGTCATGAGGTCACACCCGTGCAGCTGCTGTACCTGTGCACGATGCTTAAGGCCTTTTTGAATTGTTTCCCCTGCTGAGTCTTCCAGTAAATAAAATCCCAGTGGTGCAAAATCTTTGTGCGACGATCTATGATCAGGTCACTCAGCTCCACTATGGCTGACACGTACGCAGAGGAAGACCTAGTGAAACATATACAATTAAAAGAGAAGAACTATGGAAGCGGATTATACTTGTGAACAAAAAGAGTGTGTCCTCACCGCTGACAGTTGCTGTTGTAACTGAAGGCACATTTCAGTAAACTGTCGAGTGTCATCAGAGTGACGTGGTCAAACATTTCTACATGATTCGTGCCTTCTACCAACAGTTTGTGCCACTTATCCTGAAAGACAGATTCTTTGTATTATTAGATCAGATTCTACTTTATTTGTTTACTTTTTTAAATGATCTATTATATTTGTATTTCTGTATGTGTTTATTTGTATTTGTATTCATTTATGTGTATTATTCATTTATTGAGATATGGATTTCTGTTTGTTACAGCAGTATGTAAAAAAGACATTCCACACAAATACAAATAAATAAATGTACTTACATTAAAACAGTAAATTATTAATTTATTTGAAATGAAATGTAGGTATTTTCTTTAAAAAGGAGTGGGAAGAAATTAATACTATTTAAATGTTTAATAGCTCCAGTGTAAAGAGTGGGTTTGTTGGTTTTCTAGAAGTAGCAGGCCGATACTAAAGTGTGTATACAGCATGTGAGTGTGCATGATGTGTCTTACGTGCATGGTGTTGGTGGAGGTGTTAAACTTGTTGACGTAATTCTTCAGGATATCAAAATGAAAAGCCGGGGTCAGCAGCCGCCGCCTGCGAGACCACTCCTCTCCGTTTATCAGCAACAGACTCTGTCCTGGGGTGTGAAGGGGAAATGTTCGGAGGTGAGGATGAGAGTAAATAATACATACACATTCAATTGGATCAGTGTCGTCTCACTTTGGTATAACTACAACAGCAAAGAGAATAAAAAATAGAAGGCACTAGATAAATTAGATGTAAAAACTTGTAGTATTTTACCGTATACTCAATATCTATAAACACAGGAAGTGTTATCAGCTCATTTAAAGTATTTTGATATCAGAGAGCCGTTTGACTCACCAAGCCACGGACGCAGATGTCCATAGAATAGCTCGTCTTTCACTGTGATGCTGGCTGGATGTAATGGAAAGAGAAAAGAAGATTAAAGCGGACATATTCTGCTAATTCTCAGGTTCATATTTGTATGTTGTGTCTCCACTGTTTCCATGCTTTAATGTTCAAAAAGCTCTTTATTGTTCTCATACTGCCTGTGCTGCAGCACCTCTGTTCACCCTCTGTCTGAAACCAGAGCCCAGTCTGCCAACACTTCTTCCAGTGTGAAAATGTTTCCAGTAATTATACAGTACCAGGTGCCATTAGCAGAGGTTTGACGTAGTCCGGGTGGAAGAGTCTGACCAGGTGATAGAAAGGGCCGATGAACCAGCTGCAGGAGTGTGTGTACATCTGCACCAAGTCATCCACCTGCAGGAGGCCTTCCTCTGTGCTCTGCATCTGAAGCACACACAATAACACTTTAAACAAACATTATAATGCACCATAAGTATAGCTTTTAAAATGAAAACCTCGGAGTTTAATGGTCGGTTTGCACACTTAACTGAATTCTCCCTCCACAGAGATTTGTAATAAAATATGTCGCAACATCCTGTATCATGCTGAGAAATCTACATTTCCTTTTCTTGTTTCACGATTGCCAAGAATTACAATAATGACACAACGTTTAACATGTCACTCCCACTAGAGGCACAAAATACAAATATGAACCTGAAAATGAGCATATGTCCTATAAGTAAAGGATGTGAACACTTCTTCCACCATTGTTCTACCTGTGTTTTTAGTTTGAATCTTACCTTGCCCAGGTGGCCCAACAGCCAGGAGTGTGCATGTGGCTTGCTGAAGCAGGAGAGTCTGTGTGTGAACCAGGCGTGACGCACCAACAGCTTCACGGTCCAAACTGAGACCACAGCTCCCAGTCCGGCACCGACCAGAAGCATCAGCTGCCAGAGGCCCGTCCAGCTGAGGACCTGAGAGAGGACACCCCGGAGGAGAGACATCCTGAAAGAGAAAGTGAAGAGTTTCCAGAGGTTGTCTTACACTCGCCCTGCTCTGACAGTGACTCTGTCCACTAGGAGAAGTTACTAATGTTGAAATATGCAAAAACTGTTCCACCCAGGAAGTGCTGTAACCATAATGTCAGACACCACTTCCTTTGTCTGTTACAATCTAACTTATTTTGTTTAATTTGCAGCACAGGTTTCAACACATAGGCTAAGTGGCGGGACATCTCTAAGCAGGTTTACCTATCACACCAAAGCCGGCCAGCTAACCTGGTTTCAGACAGAGGGTGAAAAGAGGTGCTGCAGCACAGGCAGTATAAGGAAAAATGAAGAGCTTTTTGAACATTAAAGCATGGAGACATGTCACATAAAATACTTTTATGAACATGAAAATAAACACAATATGTCCTCTTTCAAATTCGAACTTATAATTAATAATTAGATGGAGGTAGAGCCCAAATACATGTTTTAACCTAGTCACAAAATACACAAGATAAACCAAACAAACAAAAACAATCCATATTCAACCTGCCATTTAACCAGAATTAAAAAGTTCACTGAAAAATACAGAGTTACTCACAAACCCTTATTAAATCAAGAGAACCAAATCATAATCTTGTCTACACATTGAGATACGTATAAAACACAGATATCCTTATTACTTTCCAAATAACTTATTATGTTGGTGACATTAAACTAATCTTCATTCGAGAGTTCGGTTTTACGAGGAGCTCCTGAACGCCACACTGATTGGAACAGGTGGCCACGGAGCCGCTCGCTAACGCAGCTCGTGGGTTGGGCTCAGAGACCAAACATTTCATTGATTTCTGCAGTTTCTGGTAACTTCTAATAACGATATAACATTACTTTGTGTGGCTAAAGACGGGTATTCAATGTAAATACGATTGGATATATCGTCAAAGGCTAAAGGCTAATAACCAGTTAGCCTGTGGTAGTTTACCTTGTTTACCTTACCCTTCATTCTGGTTCATTTTTTTTACGATTAAACATCGGTTAAATGCCAGAAATGTATAGAAGATTCAACCCCCAAAGATACTACATGTTTTTTGTTGATGCTATAAAGTAGACAAAATTGGTGAAATCACATTTTTGATAGTTAAACTGTTCGAAAAGTGTAACAATCTATTTTTCCACCATTGTTGTGTAAGCCTGTTGATTTACCAACTTAGATTGTTTTGTTTTGGACAATTTCTATATGATCAGTATACATTGACATGCTCAGAAGTAAATTACAATAAAGTGTGTTTGACAAAATCTCTATCCATGAATCTCAGGGGTATTTAAGTTGATTTCAAGTTAAGTTATTTTAGTATTGCTGAAGAAATAAACCTCTTATTGTTCTTAAAAGCTGTAATAGTAAAGTTAAATGCTTCAGAATTGAAAAACACTTCATGCATTAACCTACATTTGGAAATATTTCAATTGCTCTTGTAAAAACTAGCCAACCATTTAACAATACCGACAATGACATTATTAATATCCTTCTGAGCTGTGTTTTTAAACTAATATGTATTTTCTCCTTTATTTTCCTCTGTTTTCAAGTGTTCAGCTTGAGATGAATGAAATTGCAGAGGCCAGATCTCTCCTTAATTCCTGCTCCTCTCTGACATCTCTCAGCTCCAAACAAACATGGCTGCCATCTGAATCCCATCTGCGGCTTTCCTGGATGAACGACCGCCAAATGGAGCAGGATTCCCGGCACCAGTATGTGGAGATGCAGTCGAGTCCTGCGTCTCCTTTCTACGAGGAACTCTTCTGCACCTCCAGCTCTCTGGCCGGCGCCCTCCTGGCCTCCGCAGGGCCGCAGAGCGATGTGGTGAAGAGAGGATACCTGGGGAAGCTGGAGCGCAAACACAGGAGGTATTTTGTCCTGAGAGCAGGAAGCCACATCGGGCCGAGCCGCCTCGAGTGGTACCAGAGCCAGGAGAAGTTCACAGCAGTGGAGAAAACTGCTGGAAGTCTGTTCGGCTCTAGCAAACAAGGGTAAGCAAAAGTAACTTCAAGAACAAAAATAAGAGAAAAACAAAACAAGCATGCTTCATCTGTATATTACAAGGTAATCACTTGAAAAACCCTTATGCATACAGAAAAAAGACACACAATTACACAGTCTCTGGAAATGCACTGCACGGGCCTCCTTACATTCTAAAACCCATGTTGTCTACACCTTAGGATATCTTCTCCAATGGAAGGCCTGACAGCAAATGTTCGCTCATGTTTACTATATTTATGCTTCTCTGGACCCAACAGAACAACTTATATTTTGATGCTAATACTTTTCTACTTTTACTTGAGTAACAGTTTAAATGCATGACTTTTAGTATTTCTACACTCTGGCACTTCTACTTTCACTGAAGTACAAGATCTGAGTACTTCTCTCACCTCTGCTAACACCCTATTCATTCCTATTTCCCAGGGTGATCTACCTGAGGTGCTGTGTCGGTGTGAGCCGCAGTGGCAGTTCCAGGAAAGGCCTCACGGTGGCGCTGTACGCCAAAAACCAAACCGTGGTGCTTGTGGTGGAGGAGCAGGGGGAGCAGGAGGAGTGGTACCTGGCCATCAAGAAACTGATGGATGAAGAGCACGGGGCAGGCTTTGATGAAGACGATGATGGGTACTGCACTCTGCCCCCTGCTGCTTTCTTCAAAGAGGTCCAGATCTTCAATGTTTTAAATCATTATTATTACCCTAAGGTGTATTATCTTCCTGTTTGCAGTAGAGCAATATTAATAAAATGAATCTCTGGATCTTCCTTTACTTCCATCAAAGGTTTGGCCCGTCGCGGTGAAGCCCCGGGGTTTGGGTTGTACCAAGTCCCTGGCGGGGGAGAGTCGTCTCTGCCTCACAGCTTCGTCGCTCATCCTGGCCAGAGCGGCTGCAGGCAGCGACTTGCCGTCTGTCACTATTCCTCTGCTGAGTGTTCGCCGCTTTGGCCACTTGGACGGTTCCTTCTTCCTGGAGCTGGGCAGGTCGGCGCCCAACGGTCCTGGAGAGATCTGGATGGAAGCAAGAGAGCAAGGTAATTAAATCAAATTAAGGAATAAAAGAAACCTTAATGGAAACCCGTAGGGACATTCAGTTGTTTGAGCAGCAGCAACAATAAGAGAGGATAATTCGAATGACAAATAAAAAAAGTAAGTTACAGTATAGAATATAATCAATAAAAAGAACCTGTTGATGTGTGTTCTGTGCAGGGAGCCCAGCAGTAGCCCAGCACATCCACGAGGTGGTCCGAGAGACAGTCAGAGCGCTGCGAGCTCTGCCCGACTTCAGCCGCTCTCCCACCTCCAACCATCAGCTTCAAACCCTTCTGGCTTCCAAAGGCTGCCGACCCAAGCACCGAGACAAGCCAGCGGGTGTGAGACCACTCGCTTCTCGTGCCAGAAACCCTGAAAGCCCGTGCAAATGTCCCCCTGAGCCCCTCCAACCCCACGAAACAGACCCTCATCAGAGCTCTGAGTCGAGGACTGGCGGCTACATGGAGATGAAGATGGACCAACATCTCCCGCTGAGCAAAGAGAGGGAGAGAGTCAGCCAAACGCCTCCTATGTTGACAGAGGAGGAGGACTGGGAGTCGGGTCAGCAGGGGCTGGGGTACATGGTGATGTCTCCTCAGTTGAGCCACAGTTTGTCTGCGCTGCCTCAGGACGACTACGTGACGATGGCGAGCCCACAGAAACACACAAGGCCATCTTCCTCTTCATCCTCCTCTCCTCTGCAGACATCCTTCAACAGGTTAGTTTAAGGAGGTGACAAATTGTGTTTTTTGTGCAAACTCAACACTTGTTGGATAAAGTCACTGAAAGAAGGCACTGTACTTTAAAGATACCCTATTCTGCTTTTTGGGGGGTTTCCCTGTCCTGTAATGTGATATAGGATTGTGTGCATGTAAATGGTCTGCAAAGGCTAAAATCCCAAAGTCCCCCAATACAAATATGCACCAGAAAATGAGCATATGATGTCATCTTTAACTTTAATAAATTCTCTTTTGTAGCTTTACCTCCGAGACCTCCTCTCCGCTGCATCATCAGACCCACTGGCTGCTGGCGACCTCCGTCCAACAGTCGGAAGCAGAAACCGGCCAATCACAGAGGAGCATCAGCCATGCACAGGATGAGGAAATGGGGGAACAGTCGCAGCAGATCCGCCTCCCAGCACACACCAGCACCAGGAGGGATGATGGCTGTGATGTGACGACTCCATTTGACTCGGGCGTAGCGAGTCCCAACTGTGGCAGACTCAAAGCTGCCACAGAACGATCCGTCCGAAGATACCGCCTGTCTTTGTGTCTGCCGTCCTGCATGCAAGCTGAGGACAGAAACTGAGGACTACACAGAAAGATAAATATTCTTTATTCATCAGGGAAACTCAGGAGTCTTAGCAGCAACAGAGAGAAAGGAACAAAGTAATACTAAATAAATAACGAAAAATGTAAGAAACAGTATGAATTAAAATGTAAAGGTGTTTACATCTATGAATATGTTAAATATATATATGTACTTTTGGAAGTTCAAGTCATGAATGCATACAGAAAGGTCAACTTGCACACTTGAATCAAGGCTTTAAACTCTGAATATGTGTTTGAGAAAAATAAAGTTGTCTTGGTGACAGTTATTGTCTGTTATTTGCACTTAGTTTTGTCTTTACTTCCTAGTCTCTTTTGGTGTGGATTAAGTCACGCCCTTTGGTTTCTACACAGGTTTATTTAAAGTGTTTTAAAAAAATAGTCACAAGAATTATTTTGTATTTGTTTTGACAGCTTTCACACACCGCTCAGTATAACACCACAGATGTTCTCACCTTTTAGAATTGTCATTAAACCTGACCTTGCACTTTTTTCTCAAATGTTCTACATACTAAACTGTCTTTCTGAAATACTATGACTTTATGTCTTATACTCCGTCATCCTGCTTCTCTTTTCTTCCCAAGATGAGTGCAGAGCAACATATTAGTTAGGTTACCAAATTAAACTAAATTGTCCCAGATCAAATGGCTCGGGGATAAAACACTGCCGAGAAGACTGGATGTTGAGGGTTCAATTCTTATAATGTGCAGTAATTGTTGTGGTCCAAAATCCCAAATTGTCCAGAAAGACAACAGTTTCACATGAACATGTTTGATTCTTATAAGGAGCACAGATTTTAAATGTCCAAAATTTAAGAAGAAAAGACTTGTACATTTACAGTTACATCTCAATAAATTAGAATATTGTGGAAAATGATATATGTAGTATATATATATACTCATATATTATATATATTATTATATATACTATACTATGACTCTTTTTGCCACGGAATCCAGATGTCTTGACGTCAAAAATGTTAAAGTTGTTTAAATGTAATATATAATACAATTATTCTAACTATACTCCAGTGTCCTGCCAGTGTTTATTGTGTGTGTGTGACTTTAGTCCAATGAATCAGAATCAGGTTTATTACAAAGTTGGTTTTCACATAAACACGGTGATTCAATTGTAAAAAAAGGAACTAAGATGTAAGGATTAGAAAAAATGAATCTAACACACCCATACAAGAAATGTATAGCACACGTAATGTGCAGTGTATTGAATTTAAAGTGAAATAAACATTACCCTTTATATTAACATACAATTTTAAAGGATATTTATGGATTTGTATTTGCAATGGATAGCCCAAATTTGATATGCACAGTGCCCTCTGTGAACAAACTAAACATGATGATATGACCCCATGACCCCCATGACTCCGCCCCCTCTGTTGGTCGGAGACGCTTCGGTACGTCCAGAGCCATAGAATAGAATAGAAAAGCAGAGGACTGTCATCAGGTCTTATAGCTCAAGGAGATAGAAGGGTGGTTGGTAGGCCAGAGGTTGCAGGTTCGAGCCTTATACGTTGCAGAGAGTAGATAAGGATAAGGATAAAGGGGTAATGAATACATTAATAGGGTTAATTGGTTAATAGGATGCTAATTAAGGGAATAGAAGAAAGGAGGGTTAGGAAGCAAGACAGTAGTGAATAGGATACTATTTCAGGAACTGGAAATGAACAAAGGAGACAAATGTATTTTAAGAAACTTTTGCTTTATTCACATTTATTCATTTTATTCATACATAGCAGTGCAGCCTTGTCCCCAAGTCTGCTAAATGTCCCCAAGTCTGCTAAACGTCCTCAAGTCTGCTAAACGTCCTCAAGTCTGCTAAACGTCCTCAAGTCTGCTAAATGTCCCTAAGTCTGCTAAACGTCCCCAAGTCTGCTAAGTCTAATAAGCGGCCGATAGGTGGCTGCCGGCTCTCACTGCACTCCTGTGCAGGGCCCTGCAGTCACTGCCGATAGTCTGCTAAGTCTGTAGGCCTGCTAAGTCTGCTAAGTCGGGGGGGCTGACGTGGCTGGGGGGGGGCCGCTCGGCACCCCCCAGCCACCGCCCTAAGTCGGCTAAGTCTGCTAAGTGGCTGTGGGCTCTCACTGCAGCCACATCGATAGTCTGTTAAGTCTGCTATACGTCCCTTAAGGCTGCTAAGTCTGCTATACTTCCCCAAGGCTGAAAACGTCCACAAGTTTTTCAGAAGCAACTATGCAATTGCTTTTTTTTACATTTCCTTTTTGAAACAAAGTCTTGGACAGTTGGACAATGACCATTGGCTGTCTCAGATCTGATAGCTCAGAGTGATACTACGCTGCTCAGGTAAACTGAGGTTTAAGGTTCGATCCCCATGAGGTGCAGGGATTTTCTGGAGTCCAAGACCCAAAGTGTGGAATTATATTACCAAACGCAACACATATGGGCCAGGTCAAATGGCTGACTGGGATAAAACACTGCCTTGAAGACTGGAGGTTCTTCATTCAACCCTCTTTATTTGCACTGGTTTTTCAGGTAAAACATCCAAAATGGTGTGAAAAAAGCCTAGAGAAGAGTTTTTCATTTAAAAATGTTGGTGGCACAATTGTGTGACATACTTATAAGGACAGTTTTTTTCAGATGGACTGCACTATGACTTATTTGATTTCCTTTTTTACATTTTTATTTGTGACATAATCTACCAAACAACAGGTCACTGTCTCAATCTAATAGCTCAGGGTGATACAACGCTGCTCAGGTGAGCTGAAGTGTTGGGTTCGATCCCCATGAGGTGCATAGATTTTTGGAAGTTTAACACCCAAAGTGCAGAATTACATTACCAAACAAAAGTTTATTGGCCCAGGTCAAATGGCTCACTGGGAAGAAACACTGCCTTGAAGACTGGAGGTTGTGGGTTCAATCTTATTTATTTGCACTGGTTTTCAGGTAAAACATCCAAAATGGTGTGAAAAAAGCCTAGAGAAGAGTTTTTCATTTTAAAATGTTGGTGGCACAATTGTATGACATACTTACAAGGATAGTTTTATTGGATGCAATGCACAATAACTTGTTCTATTTCCTTTTTTACATTGTCATTGTGACATAATCTACCAAACAACCTAAGACTTTCACAAATGAAATAGCTCAGTTGGATACAATGCTGCTCAGGTGAGCAGGAGTCTTGGGTTCGATACCTGTGAGGTCCATGCATTTTCTAAGTCTAACCATCCAAAGCAGAGAATTAAGTTACCAAATTAAATGTAGCAGTCACTGGTCAAGTGGCTCAGAGGGATAGAACACAGACTGTGAGACAGAAGGTTGTGGGTTCAAGGCTTTTCAGGTGCAGTAATCTTTAAGGTTCAAAATCCCAAATGAACCGGTCATAAGCTCTTCGAAACATAATCATCTCAGGACAGATAGCTCAGAGGGATAAGTGTCAGGTCAGAAGACCTGAGGTTGTGTGTTCGAGTCCTCGTGAGCTATAGTGATTTTTAAAGTGCTTTACTCAAAATGAAGAAGATAAATGCGCCCGGAGCACAGGTCTTCATGTACATGTGATGGTGGCCGGATTGGGTCTGTTCTCGGCATTAAGGCGCTGGTGTCGAGTTTGGGTCTGTCGCTTAGCATGTACGGGGTTCGATACTCGGAGTAGCTGAGTTAGGCAGAGTAGCTGCAGCAGTTAGTGCACAGTAGATGAGGAAGGTAGTTCGTAGTAGATGAGGCAGGTAGTTCATAGTAAGTGAGGCAGGTAGTTCATAGTAAGTGAGGCAGGAAGCGTAGGAGTGTCACGTGGAGTAGGAGAGGCAGGTAGCGTAGGATAATAGTAGGAGAGGCAGGTAAGGGAGGTAGGAGAGGCAGGTAAGGGAGGTAGCGTAGGAGAGCAGAACGAGTAGATCAGGATAAAAAAAATTGCAGAAAATCTTTTTTTTTTAGCTTTTTTTCCCAAATTTTTGCTTTTTTTGGTCCTGAAAAGCAGCACTGCAGCCGCAAGGGGGATACGAACCCTGGCATCTAGGATCCTTCCTGGCTCACTGTGCACCTGCCCTACCAGGTGAGCCACTGGGTCATACAAAGAGGAATGGTTTAAGTTATATTTATCATGACGAGTAATAATCACTTTAAAAAAAAAAAAAAAAAATGAAATTTATTTTATACGTCATTATTAATGACTTTTAGAAACTATTTATGATTTTCTAAAGGCATTTCACATTTTAAGGACATTATTTGCAAATTATTGTCAATTTAATTTACTTTTCTATGACTTTTTGCAGTTTAATGATTTTCTGCTCTGACTTTTTAAACAACTTTTTATGAAAAATGTCATTGTTTTTTGTAACTTCTCTTTGGCAAACATTGTAATGAAATTCTTGTGACTTTTAATCACTCTTATGAATGTTTTGCTATACTATGTACTATGACTTTCCTATGACTTTTTCTGACACTATTAAATGACTTGTGGCGTAGTAAACTATTATGGCATTTCTAAAGTTTTTACTTTCCTAAGACTTTCTGAAGACATTTAAAGGTTTGCACTTACTAAGACTTTTAAATGCCATACTTTACCACGAGTGGAGGAAGAAGAGAAGAAGTGAAGAAACCCGGCCGTCCTCAGATTTGTTCCAGAAACTCTGCACTCATCTTGGGGAGAAATGAAGAGAGGGAAGACAGCGTTAGGATTATTCTGGTTTAAGACATTTTAAAAACTAGTTTTTTACTTTTCAGGTATTTTCTTTGTTGTGAGATATTCAATGTCAGGGATCTTATTATGGTGTGTTTTAGATTGCTGCCACATGGGTGTAACATAAAAAGAGAATGCAACAAACGGCAAAAAGCAAATAAAACAATTCTGTGCACTTATCAATGCACAGAATACGATTGTTGAATGTTAAAGTGTACTTGTACAATACTCATATCTTATCTCTGGGAAGGACACATGTTGACAGACTGCTGCAGCCCACTGTTTGAGTTGGCACTGATTTACTGAGACAGAGTGTGCTGATCAGATCTGTTCTGCCTTGTGAAAAATATACCCTTTCCTCCTTCGCTGCAGCCGACCTTCTCCTGCTCCAGTCGGCTTCGAGTGTCGGGCCAACTCCACCCAGGTGGTGTCTCTCAAATGTGGCCGTGACTCTTCCTCCAGCTCCAGCTCTGAGTCCAGTGAGGAGGTGAGGACTAAAGGGGGGAAAGTAGAGCTGACTTTGACACTAATTCATCAAGCTCATTATCCATTTTAAGCCATAGCAAGTCATATAACCTATATTCAAGTGGACAATGAAAGTCTATTTGAAGGTTTTCCATGAAAATAGAACAGCATTTTTAATAAATTAAGCCAAACCCTTAATAAAAGGTGAGAAAGTGGATTAGACTGGGACTCTGGAAGTACACAGGAAAGAATGTATATCATTAGTGGAGTAAAATGATAATAGATGTGCAGTATGACGTTATTCGTTATTAGCCAAAAAGTTAAGATCTTGAATTATAAAGAACATTTCTCAAAGTGTTTGAAAGACAGGCATTTACCAGGAAGGGCAGGGGAAGTCTAACAAAGGATGCTTCTGAGCAGCATTATGGGAAATGTAGGTATGGTGTATGTCCAAATCTAAGGAACACATTATGTATTATACTGTTGTGTTAAACTCACCAGGTATGCTGGCGGAGCTGGAGCCTGATCGGATGCTGGCGGTCGAGAGAGAGGACCAATCGTAGGCCGCCTCTGTCCTCTTCATGGTTTCCTGGTAGTTCACATATAGCTGCTTACCATACTACAAACAAACACAAAATGAGATAAACTAATTAACATACTTTACATAGTGTGAGAGAACATTGTTTGGACTCGATCGATTAGTAGACGTACCTTGGCAATGCGAATCCCATTCACCCACTGGTGCAGGGTCCTGACGTCATCGCAGCACAGATACTTGATGTACTGGGACTTCTTCTGGATTTGTGGATGCTACAGAGAAGTTGATACATATTTTACTATCCACAAATGCATCAAATGTCCACTGAAAAAGTGCTTTAAAGCTACTACGCGCAGGTTGTTTGTAGAGAAGGGAAAACGTCAACAAGTTATTCCACACCGGTGCCATGCTGCTTCTCTGCACGTTTTTAATCCACAGTTTTGCTGCACTTTTGATGATAGTTTACTACGTTGTTTACATGCGTTCAGCAGCTGAGCCTCTCTGCAGGGAAAGAGTCACTCTGACCCACGCGTAAAACAACAACACTGTCTACTAACAGTATTTACTTACCAATGTTGACGGGATAGCAGGATGCGCAGGTTGTTTGTAGAGAAGGGAAAACGTCAACAAGTTATTCCACACCGGAGCCATGCTGCTTAGCTCTGCACGATGAGACTTCCACATGGGACTCTGCAGGGAAAGAGTCACTCTGCAGGAAACACCCCGGAAGTCTCATCGTGCAGAGAAGCAGCATGGCACCGGTCTAGAATAACTTGTTGACGTTTTCCCTTCACTACAATCAACCTGCGCATTCTGCTATCCCGTCAACATTGGTAGGTAAGTAAATACTGTTAGTAGATAGTGTTGTTGTTTTACGCGTGGGTCAGGTTTACTCACAGTAACGCTAACATTTATCAGAAAGGTCTGAATGTGTTTTTGTCACGTTCCACTTCCGTGTTTACAACCTCACAATGGCGTAGTGTAAACAGTACTGTTTTATGTAAGACACTACATGTATATTGTATTTATATCGTTTAATGTTTACCTTTTTATGTTTTTAATTTTAAAAGCTTTCTGTGCCAACAGAACTGTTTTTGTTGTCCTGAATACTAAGATATTTTAAATCTCCTGTGGTGCATCAGTCTCCTGAATGTGTTCAGAAACGGATTTACTTTGAACACTTTTAGTAACATCTATGAAGCTACTTGTTGAAATACACGAGATTCATTATCTACTATTTTCTGACAGGTATTTTGACAAATGTAAAGCTGTTTTATCATCTTCAAATCACTGAAACCAGTGGGGGAGGAGGTTATTTTGGACCCTTTATTTGAAGTATGAGTAGAAGGTGAGCTGATGTAGAATGGCTTGATTTAATTTCATAGTTTAGGAAACCGTGACAAATGCATTATTGTATTTGTCATAAAAAATCATGTTGATATTTCTTGAGAAAATATATGTTTAATCAGTCAAATGTACTTAAGTACTTAATGCAGAAAGAATACATTTAACCACTCTAAATATTCTATAAATAATTAAAAGGGAAACAATTACCACGTAGAGAAATACAGCAGCCATCAGTCCCTGAGATAACATCAACCCTTCTGTACGCCTTACTTTTTTGACGAAATATTTGTTTCCCGAGGTGAAGAATATTTTAAAAATGCACAATAAATACCTGAAAAAGTCAAGAGAAAAACTAGTTTTTAAAATGTCCAGAATAATCCTAACGCTGTCTTCCCTCTCTTTATTTCTCCCCAAGATGAGTGCAGAGTTTCTGGAACAAATCTGAGGACGGCCGGGTTTCTTCACTTCTTCTCTTCTTCCTCCACTCGTGGTAAAGTATGGCATTTAAAAGTCTTAGTAAGCGCAAACCTTTAAATGTCTTCAGAAAGTCTTAGGAAAGTAAAAACTTTAGAAATGCCATAATAGTTTAGAATCACAAGTAATTTAATAGTGTCAGTAAAAGTCATAGGAAAGTCATAGTATATAGTATAGCAAAACATTCATAAGAGTGATTAAAAGTCACAAGAATTTCATTACAATGTTTGCCAAAGAGAAGTTACAAAAAACAATGACATTTTTCATAAAAAGTCGTTTAAAAAGTCAGAGCAGAAAATCATTAAACTGCAAAAAGTCATAGAAAAGTAAATTAAATTGACAATAATTAGCAAATAATGTCCTTAAAATGTGAAATGCCTTTAGAAAATCATAAATAGTTTCTAAAAGTCATTAATAATGACGTATAAAATAAATGTCATTATTTTTTTTATTTTTTTTTTTTTTTAAAAGGTGATTATTACTCGTCATGATAAATATAACTTAAACCTTTCCTCTTTATATGACCCAGTGGCTCACCTGGTAGGGCAGGTGCACAGAAGAATCCTAGATGCCAGGGTTCGTATCCCCCCTGCGGCTGCAGTGCTGCTTTTCAGGACCAAAAAGAGCAAAAATGTGGGAGAAAAGCTAAAAAAAAAAAGATTTTCTGCAATTTTTTTTATTCTGATCTACTTGTTCTGCTCTCCTACTCTACCTCCCTTACCTACGCTACCTGCCTCTCTTACTATGAACTACCTGAACTACCTGCCTCACTTACTATGAACTACCTGCCTCACTTACTATGAACTACCTGCCTCACTTGCTATGAACTACCTGCCTCACTTGCTATGAACTACCTGCCTCATCTGCTGTGCACTAACTGCTGCAGCTACTCTGCCTAACTCAGCTACTCCGAGTATCGAACCCCGTACATGCTAAGCGACAGACCCAAACTCGACACCAGCGCCTTAATGCCGAGAACAGACCCAATCCGGCCACCATCACATGTACATGAAGACCTGTGCTCCGGGCGCATTTATCTTCTTCATTTTGAGTAAAGCACTTTAAAAATCACTATAGCTCACGAGGACTGGAACACACAACCTCAGGTCTTCTGACCTGACACTTATCCCTCTGAGCTATCTGTCCTGAGATGATTACGTTTCGAAGAGCTTATGACCGGTTCATTTGGGTTTTTTAACCTTAAAGATTACTGCACCTGAAAAACCTTGAACCCACAACCTTCTGTCTCACAGTCTGTGTTCTATCCCTCTGAGCCACTTGACCAGTGACTGCTACATTTCATTTGGTAAGTTAATTCTCTACTTTGGATGGTTAGACTTAGAAAATGCATGGACCTCACAGGGATCGAACCCAAGACTCCTGCTCACCTGAGCAGCGTTGTATCCCACTGAGCTATTTCATTTTGGACAGTCTGAAGTTGTTTGGTAGATTATGGCACAAAGAAAATGTAAAAAAGGGAAATAAAATAAGTCATAGTGGAGTGCATCCAATAAAACTTAACTGAGTTAAGTGTCACACAATTATGCCACCAACATTTGTAAATGAGAAACCCTTCTCTACACTTTGTTCACATCATTTGGATGTTTTACCTGAAAAACAGGTGCAAATAAAGAGGATTGAACCAAGAACCTCTAGACATCAAGGTAGTGTCTTATCCCTTTGAGCCATTTGACCTGGGAAAATTATTTTCGTTTGGAAATCTAATTCTACACTTTGGGTGCTGGCCTTCAGAAAATCTCTGCACCTCATGGGGATCAAACCCAAAACTTCAGCTCACCTGAGCAGCGTCGTAACCCACTGAGCTATTTCATTTTAAATAATGGTAGACTTTGTCACAAAGAATAATATAAAAAAGGAAATAAAATAAGTCATAGTGCATCTGAAAGAAATATCAGAGAATCACACAATTGTGTCACAAACATTTGTAAACGAAAAACTACTCTGTACGTTTTTTTCCACATCATTTGGATGTTTTACCTGAAAAACAGGTGCAAATAAAGAGGGTTGAACCAAGAACCTCCAGACATCAAGGCATGGTTTTATCCCAGTCAGCCATCTGACCTGGTCCATTTATTTTTCGTTTGGTAATCTAATTCTACACTTGAAGAGTGGGTGTTGAAGATCAGAAGCATCTCTGCACCTCATGGGGATCGAACCTAAAACCTCAGTTCTTCTGAACAATAGTGCATCTCACTGAGCCATTTGATCTGAGTCTTTGGTATTGTGTTTGGTAGACTTTGTGATACAAAGGATATCTCAAAAAGTCATACTCTGCACTACCTGCCTTACTTACTATGAACTACCTGCCTCATCTACTGTGCACTAACTGCTGCAGCTACTCTGCCTAACTCAGCTACTCCGAGTATCGAACCCCGTACATGCTAAGCGACAGACCCGAACTCGACACCAGCGCCTTAATGCCGAGAACAGACCCAATCCGGCCACCATCACATGTACATGAAGACCTGTGCTCCGGGCGCATTTATCTTCTTCATTTTGAGTAAAGCACTTTAAAAATCACTATAGCTCACGAGGACTCGAACACACAACCTCAGACTTTCTAACCTGTCTCCTATCCCTCTGCGCCACCTGTCCTGAGGCATTAATGTTTCGTAGAGCTTAGGGCCTGTTCATTTGGGATTTTGGACCCTAAAGATTACTGCACCTGAAAATCTTCAAACCCACAACCTTCAGTCTCACAGTCTGTGCTCTATCCCTCTGAGCCAATTGACCAGTGACTGCTAGATCTCATTTGGTAAATTCATTCTCTACTTTGGATGGTTAGACTTAGAAAATGCATGGACCTCACAGACTTGGGGACGTTTAGCAGACTTGGGGACAAGGCTGCACTGCTATGTATGAATAAAATGAATAAATGTGAATAAAGCAAAAGTTTCTTAAAATACATTTGTCTCCTTTGTTCATTTCCAGTTCCTAAGATAGTATCCTATTCACTACTGTCTTACTTCCTAACACTCCTTTCTTCTATTCCCTTAGCATCCTATTAACATTATTCTATTAACCAATTAATCAATTAACCCTTTATCCTTATCTATCAACTCTCTGCAACGTATAAGGCTCAAACCTGCAACCTCTGGTCTACTAACCACCCTTCTATCTCCTTGAGCTATCAGACCCGATGACAGTTCTCTGCTTTTACTTGTATTTGACTTCTTCATCAAGGGAAAGACACCTTAAAACTCTGCATGGCAAAGACTCAAACTCACAACCTGGGATCATTAAACGCAGTGGACCACCCCAGTTTTGAACTCACGTTCTCTGGTCTCCAAGACGGGTTCTTATCACAGTGAGCCATTCGGTGTGACACAGTTAGATGTTCCCTGGCATATGTGAGCTTTTTACCTCAGGTTTGGACCTTAAAATACACAGCCCAAGCACCTCCTAGTGAATGATACATAGTTTATTCTCGGTTTAACCTTGAAAGTGTGTGAGACAAAATAGCTTAGAGGTTAGAGTCAAAGACTGTGGCTCCATGACCTAACTATGAAACAGGGTTCAAAACATATCTATTTTGTTATTGAATAGGCCCACCACAAACCAAGTCCGTTCTGACCTCTAAAATACGTAAGTACACGTGGACGATTTAAAGTGTGCAGTAGTGTAGGAACTCTGCAGTCATCTTGGGAAAAATAAAAGGACAACATAAGAATGAGACATAAAAAAATCTATGTTAAACAAAACTTTAAAAGTCATAGTATAGTCTGTTAAAAATAGAGCTTTAGTATAGTTTGTTTAACATATTATGTAAAAAGTCATAGTATAACATTTCTAAACTGTGATTTATAAAAAATAAATCCGTACTATTGGTGACTTTATTCATTATTATTTTGGTTACATAGTCTCTAGAGTCTCTAGAAAATAAAGACGTCATTTTGAACATTACTGGTGACTGTTGACATTTTGATCAAATCAAACTTCTGAGATTCATCATCTGTCTAGTTATATGAATAGCATGCAAACCTTGTAGGCAATTGTATCACAATAAAATAACAATATGCTGACATCAGTTGTAGCCAGTGGGGGAAAGTACTGTACTTAAGTACAATCTTGAGGTACTTAACCTGTAGTTATGCTACTGTATGACATTTTAGAAGCCAGTAATGCAATTTTAACCCCACTACATTTATTTGACAGCTTTTGTGACTAGTTTTATTTAAGGTTTAGATTATTAGCTAAAGTAATAACAAACTTTTGAAACGCATCTGAGTACTTCTTCCACAAAAGCGATCTAAACGTTAATACTGACAACAACAAGCTTTAGTTATGACGTCAGTGTATAGTGTATCACTCTGAACTAAGTAGTGACACTCTGAACTAAGTAGTGACACTCTAGCAAGTTCCTGTCATAATGGGGAACATTTTTTATATAAGTGGGGACCCTTGTCTAAAAAGTTAGTTCTGGACATAATGGGGACCCTTATCTAAAAAAAATTACCATATTATTTTAACCATGTTAAAAGAAAAGACACCTGATCGCAGATGACTGAAATGACTTGCTTTATTGTGAACCTGTAATGCACCTGTGTGAAACTCCTTAGCACAACTCTTCAATCAATCCTGATCCATCACTAAAAGGTGAAACCTCTGTTGTCTGTATTTCATGTCCACGGAAGATAAGAGAAGAAGGATGACGACACCCAGGTTGGAAACAAGTGGCTTAAACCATCCAAACATATGTCTTAAAACATTTATTAAGATCCTAAACCTAGAGAAATATATGTTTAAGATCATAGGCTTGAGTGGTGAGTATGTGTGTGGTCAGAGTAGAACACACACCTCTGTGTTTATGTGCTGCTGGCAGTGAGAGCGTCTCGCAGAGTTTCTATGAAGCGATGAACGTCGGTGAAGGAGTTGTAGAGCGGCACCGGAGCGATCCGCAGCACACTGGGCTCCCTCATGTCACACTGAACAAAGACAAACATCAGAAACTCTTGATGCAGATTACTCCCAGATTCAAACTGATGTTGTGGATTTTTCCAGTACAAAAACAGTCCTCTAAAATCGTGTCTGTACTCACGGCGACTCCCCTCTTCTCCATCTCCTGGAAGACGGTCCTGATGGGGACGGAGAAGCAGAGCGACAGCTGGCAGCCCCTCTGCTGCGGGTCGGAGGGCGTGATGATGCGCACGTGAGCTTTGTGCGGCTGGGAGGCGTCCTCACGGAAATAATGCAGGATCAGAAACTCCAGGTACCCCGTCAGGAGGAGGGACTTCCTGCGCAGCTCCTGCATGCTCGTCATGTTGAACACCTGGAGGAAAGGGGAAATTATGACCAGGCTAATCACTTCTCAAGAAGACTATTATATCAGCTGATGTTCATACTGTTGACATGCAGTCAAATAGTTAAGTGTTGGTGCTTTTTACAGGACAATGACAATGTAACATCAACAATGAAGAAATAAAAAATGGAGAGCATATTTTTTGTTAAGTTATAGTACCTCCAGGCTGGCCTGCAGGGGGCACACCAGCAGGATGGGCTGGTTGGAGAGTCTGAAGCCACTCACACCGGGCTGCAGGTCCAACACTGAGGACACAAACACAGTCACAGTACAAATACAGTGGTTTGAGACAATTAAGAAAAACAAAAATGTGTATTTTTTTACATTAATAGTTATTATGGATAGAGAGCCAAAAAGGTATTGTAGATATAACACCCAAAGGGATCACAAGATGGCAGCATAAAACCATTTTAAAATCACCTCCCTGACATGAAAGGTTGATTGGAAGTTTGTATGTATTTTATCTACCGTTATTCATCCGGAAGCGAGTTTTCAGGTCATGTCCCCACCAGCCCACCAGCCTGCAGGACACGGGACAGAAGAAGAAAAGGAAGTTAAAAGGACATTTGTAGTATTTTTTATAATGTTATGTTTCTCCTTGAAGTTGCTTGTTATGCAATTTAACAAAGAATGATTGAAATCACAGCGTCGGAGGTGTCAGGACTCACGCAGGCTTGACAGTGTCTTTGTGTTTCTCGTGGATAAACGCCCCGGCTATCCCGCCAGCACCTGAGTTTATATACTGTGAGCAGACAGTCATTACTTTAGTATCCTCATGTATCTGTACTCTCATTTAAATCAGATGTCAGCTGACCTTGTAGGAGCACCAGCAGGCGAAGTCGACCCCCCAGTCGTGGAGCTTCAGCTCGACGTTTCCTGCAGCGTGAGCGCAGTCAAAACCTACAAAACAGCCCTGAAACACAGAGAACATTTGAACTATTTTAGATCATGCAGTGTTTTCTTTTCTATATATAATCTAACTTTGCAAAGGAACTAGTCACTAAATGCATGGCTAAATATTTCTTTTATAAATCCAGAGCACTAAAAAAAAAAATGTTCCCCCAATGTAGTGAAGCAAATGTAGAAAAATAAGCATGCAATGGAAATACTTAGGCACAAGTCCCTGAAAAATGATACTTAAGTATGTATTCCACAACTGATGAACATATACGTTCAGTACAGATTCTGATACCTTCCTGTGTCCGGCCTCAGTGATGGCGGCCATGTTGAACAGCTGTCCGGTGTAATACTGGACTCCGCTGAACATCACCACGGCGATGGAGTCTCCCTCCTCCTCGATCCGCCGCACGATGTCCTCCGTCCTCAGGGTCTCCTCCCCCTGTAGAGCAGCACCACAACCAGGAAGTAGATTTGAGTTTGTGTGCAGGCAAATGACAGGATGAATAACATCTGTAAATAATAATAATAATGTGTGAAGTTTGATGCTCCAGTACCGGCCTGGGTGAAATCAGCAGCATGCTCTTCTGAGGGTCGAACCCTCGCAGTCTGATCTGAGACTCCACTGCGTACTGAGGACAGGGGGGGCACAAAAACATGGTTTGGGTGACAATCATTAATTAAGAGATGTTTTCTGTATCAGTGACTCCATGCATTCAAGCTGTATTGAGGGAAAGGACTGTTGATTCAGATATTAATGGATGTTAAGGGCCCCTATTCTCCATTTTGGGATTTCCCCCTTTCCTTTAGTGTGTTATATAGGATGTTGTGCATGTAAATGGACTTCAAAGGCTAAAGTTCCCTACAGAGGGCCCCTTTAAAGCTGTTTAAACACAGTCAGCTTTATCCTTTGCTCTGGATTTAAAGTGCAGCAGCAGTTCTTTGTAGTAAAATCTGATTTAAAGTGCAGCAGCAGAGGAAGTATTTTATAGAAAAGTGGAGTTTTAGTGTCACACTGTGGGACTTTGACCTCTGCAGGTTTACTCACGTGGTCTGAAGGAAAGGCTTTGTCTTCCAGGAGGATTTTATGCCGAGTCGCTGTGGGTTTGTAGAAAGAAAGCTGCAGAATAATGACAGTATTGGTGTTGAAGTGGATTACATTGGATTAATGGATATCACATATAGGACACAGACTCAACTGGTTGACCTGCCTTCATTTTTACAACTTCTGACAATCTTTGGACAGGTGTTTATGCATATTTAATGCAAAAAGATCTTATGGAAAATTAGTGTATGTTACCAGTAGAAGATGTAGATTAACTGTCAGGCCGTTCATCAGAGCCACCTCCTCCGTTTTAGCTCCTGAAGAAACACAGAAGGGACTGTATTTGTTATTTGTTTGCTAAGATATGTATGATAAGTTTGCATAAAGAAATGATACTAATCTGGAAATCCTATGTGAGCCCACGATTTCATAAAAATCAAGTGAGGGTACACTATAGAGACACGTGACAGACATTTCAATATGAACTCGTAGCAACATAAAGAGAATGTTCCCTCACTGTTTTGAAGACCTACATGTGAACTTTGCACTCTGCAAACAGTGCAGTGACCTGAAGCTGCTGCACAGAGGAGTTATTCAAAACCAGTACGTATCTCATATAATATAATAACAGTGCTGCAGAATGGCCAGGCTTCAATTTGCAACAATTACAGTTATGTTCTCACCAACAACATTAGCCATGAGTTCCTCCATGGTGTTTTCAGCCCAGGCCCAGGGGCGAGGGCCTAAAACGTGGCCGTGGACCCCCCTATTAAAAGAGATGTTTTAATGCAATTTCACATTAAAATATATGTTATTGAAATTATTTTTGATAAATGAGAGTTGACTCACATTTTGGCCCAGTTCTCCAGTTCCTCTTCCAGATACTTCCTGGCCTTTTTGGGCTGAAGACCCAACGAGTTTCCCACCATGTAGATACACTCCTGACTGCCATTTACCTTAGAGAGGTCAGCTGAGAAAACAGGAAGTATTACAAATTATTCTCAGACTTTAAAAACTGTACAACTCTTCTGCTTTTCATTTCTGAAATACAATAAATATTAAATTAGTTTAAAAAATAAGTCTTAGTCAATATTCTTATATATATTTTACTTTATTTAATTTTTTTAGTGCGCATTTTTACTTTTACTTACTTACTTACATGTATTGAATACTAAAATGGAACAACTGTCAACCTGTTTCCTCCAGGATACTGTAAGTATTTCTGATCCAATGTTGAATAAAATATGTATACAAACACAAGAAGAAAATATGTAAATATACCAGCACTTTAATGCATAACTGCTTACTCACAGGGGGGCAGGTCAGCCACGGTGGGCAGCAGGAACTCCCCCCTCAGGGCTCTCAGAGGGTCCTGTTTGTCCAGGTGAGCAGCTACCTCAGCAGAGGTGGGGCTGCAGCCCAGAGAGGAGGACACTTTCTCCACAGTTTCCCTCGGAGTTAAACCCACAAACTGGTCCATTACTGCGCCTGCAGACACGGAACTCTTTAAAGTGAAGCATGGGGCAAAGGGAAGCTCTGTTGGTGGTGATTGGATCACTTCAATGAGTATAATCTGCAGAATGAAGGAGGTAAATAACTTTCTCCTGCCGCTCCTACAGTTCAGAAACACTACACTTTCGGGTTCCTGACTAACATGTGACTGAAGTAGCCAATCAGAAGCTAGGAGGACTTGCACTGAGGGAAACTGGGAGAGGTGTGCTGACAATAACCTGGCCCTCAACACAACAAAAACAAAATAACTAATTGTGGACTTCAGGAAAACGAAAGGCAACACACACACTCCCATCCACATAAATGGAACGGCGGTGGAGCGTGTGTCTAGCTTCAAGTTCCTGGGGGTCCACATATCCGATAACCTCTCATGGTCCAACAATACCACCAGTATAGTAAAGAAGGCTCACCAGCGTCTCTTCTTCCTGAGGAGACTAAAGAAAGATCACCTCTCTCCTCAGATTCTGGTGAACTTTTACCGCTGCACCATTGAGAGCATCCTGACCAGCTGTATCACAGCCTGGTATGGGAACTGCACAATGCTCAACAGGAAGGCACTGCAGAGGGTGACGAAAATCGCCCAACGCATCATCGGTGTCACACTCCCTGCCATCGAGGACATCCAGGGGATACGGTGTTTGCAGAGGGCGCACAACATCTTCAAAGACACCTCTCATCCTGCAAACTATCTGTTCGTCCTCCTACCCTCGGGGAGGCGCCTCAGGAGCCTCCAGTCCAAGATCAGCAGGTTCAGGGACAGCTTCTTCCCCAGGGCTGTTACCCTGTTGAACTCTGCCCGCTGACAGACTCTAGCCCATACCCACCACCCACCTGTTTATATATTTTACTGTCAATGCCGTTTATATTTGACTGTCAATGCCGTTTACACTGTAGGGAGACCAGGGACAGTTGGAACACGGGTTGGTTGTAACACCTTCAATATCTCCAATCACAAACAAGCTAGAGTGATGACACTCACTCTGCACATGCGCAGTTAGATGGTGAGATCGATGAGAAAAAACGGAGCCACGTTTGAATTTCTCGCGTAAGATATCGGCAAAAGTGTGTTTCTGAGGTAAAATATTAACTAAAATGATATGATGTATTTTTTGGATACTGTCTTGAGTTCAAATGTCTAGGAATCCAAACTAGTATTATTAGAATCACTGTTTTGTAAGCTACAAATATAACTAGCTAAATATGGGTCAAGCTAGCAATCAGGCAGGTTCACAGGGGGTGAAAGCAAGACTGGTGGTCCTGGGACGGTTGTAACGGAACGGTTGTAACATGGCACATTTACAATGATGGCTCATTTGCTTGAATGATCAATTGTTCATTCAAGCATACAGTTGTATTGATGATTGGTGTGCATTGTCCCTGTAAAAATAAACAGAATAAAATACTGTACAGTAGGCCTAAAGTGTGTGTGTGTGTGTTTACAGTATGTCAAATGTCAGAAAGAGGAAGACAGACAGGGGAGTGCCACTTGCTCTGCTGCAGATGGGCTCAAATTAAGTTCAGGAGGGCAAATCATTCAGGGAAGTGGCAAAGTCCCTGGATATATGCCATGTCACCCTGTACCGGTTCCATAAGAAGAGGCTGAGGTTGGAGAGTCAGACAAACCCAACAAGAAGCAGAAGATACAGGACTCATCTGATGAAGATGAGGCCCAATACTGCATTGTGTGCCTGGAGAGCTACTCCAGGTCCAAGGAGATCTGGCTGCAGTGTTGCTCCTGTAAAGCCTGGGCACACAAGGACTGCACAGATGGAAGTGCCTTTTACACCTGCCACAACTGTGAATCTGATTAATTCTGGTGTTCTGTTTTAAGTTCTGTTCAAGTTCTGTTAATTGTTCATTGTTTGTTGGAGGATGTGTGAAACCCCATTAAAATCTTGTTGCCTTAGAATTTGACTGCTTTCCCTATTTTTTGTCATGTAGTGTGAAAAAAGGTAACCGTTATTAACATGTTACAACCGTGCCTGGCATGTGCTACAACTGTCCCTGTACACAAGGACAGTTGTAACAGTTGAGTTTTTAAAAAAAAATACATTTTCCAACCTGTACTTATTTCATAAAAACATCTTAAATACATTGTTTCAGTAGCTGACATATTGATAATGTATAATATAGCAAAATGGCTATCCTATTGTAAATGGTTTTTTACTTATTGGGGAAAAACCCAAAAAGTGTTGCAACTATCCCTGGTCTCCCCTATAGATTAATCTGTTTATAGCCTATTTATAATTATTCTATTTATAATAATTCCATGTACAATTATTCTTACTATGTAGACTAATGCACTGCTATTTTGCACTTCTGGTCAGATGCCTAAACTCACATTTCGTCACTAGTACATGTACTACGTAATGACAATAAAGTTGAATCTGAATCTGAATCTGAATCTGAACTACAGAGGAAGACTCAGCACTGATTTAAGAGCTGCTGAAAGTATTTTACTAATAGTCTATAGAGGTGTTAATTACAACAACCTGTGCATAAATAAATATATATATATTAGAAAATTAACTAAAGTATGTGCATACAAAATTAATCTACAATATAAATGAAAACTGTCTTCTCATTATTTTATTTCACTCATTCTCTGTACTGTAAAGTATATGGTATATCCAACATGCATCTGTGTACAAGAATACTGTCATGCTGTTAATTAAAACCTCACATTAAATGCCATTAAAAAGTAAATATTGAATATTAAACCAGCTATCAAACAACCTGAGTTGAAATATGTCACTTAAATCCACAGTGCCCTCTATAATAAAACCCCCCACACATTATCCCATTAATAAACACTGCTTTAAAACAAATCTACTTTTTACCCCATTTTCAGTGATTTTCTTTGACTTTTAGAGATATTTTGTTGTACAATCTTCAAGTTTTCAATCTTTTTGAATGAATTGGCTCATGCATTCTCTTTTAAACTGTTTAAATTCAACTTAAATGATACATTCATACAATACAATCATGTAAAATGCGTTTACATTTACATTGCAAATGACTCTTCTTTAGTTCTCTGTGAAGAGGAACGTGTGATATATGAAGCAGAAACTCACGGTTTGCATAAGGAGAAGAGCGTCCTCTCCACACACAGATCCCCTCGGAGTGCCCTCTGCTGTGGGAATGCTCTTTGACCTCTCAGTGTTCAGCATCAGGTTAATCATTGTTCTAATGAGATAACAACTCAGATTATTAACAGGCATAGTCTGTTCTGTAACTCTGGATCAGTCTAATTCCTGGTTTCAAAAGTGCAACAGACAGGCAAAGAGACAGTTCCCCTTTTTTCATGCTTTCACTTCCATGTGTGAAAATCCAAACACACAGTGTGATATTCCACATGTGGTAATACAAATAAATATAATTACATTAATGGAGGGTTAAAACCCTGTAAAGCCCAAATATAGAAAAACCTTAGCACATTTTTTTTTGATTTAGTTTAAAAAAACAAAAAAACATTTACTGACTTTTTTAGGATAGAAGACTGGAGGTTCTGGGTTCAATGCTTATTGTTTGCAGGGATTTTTCAGGTAAAGAAAATCCAAAATAATCAACTCAAATAAGCGGAGAGAAGAGTTTTCTTTTTCAGACAAACTAATAAACAGAGCTAGCTCGGATGGACACTGCCTTGAAGACTGGATGTTGAGGGTTCGATTCTTATCATTTGCAGTGATTTTTAAGGTCCAAAACCCCAAATTGTCCAGAAAGACAACAGTTTTACATTAACATGTGTTAGTGGTGCAATTTCATGACATAATACACTATGACTTCCTCCACACTGTCTTTGTTTCGTACGTGTGACTAGTCCAATGAATCACAATCAGGTTTATTACAAAGTTGGTTTTCACATAAACACGGTGATTCAATTGTAAAAAAAGGAACTAAGATGTAAGGATTAGAATCGAACACACCCATACAAGAAATGTATAGCACACGTAATATGTGCAGTGTATTAGAATGTAAAGTGAAATAAACATTACCCTTTATATTAACATACCATTTTAAAGGATTTGGATTTGTGTTTGCAATGGATAGCCCAACGTTGGTATGCTCAGTGCCCTCTGGGCCTTACAGTAACGTTGCACTAGATGGCAGCAAAGTGTTTTTGATCTGAGAGAAGAACAAAACAAGATGTCTCAATAAAATATACTTTGAAATCATAAATATTGGGAACATAAATATGATATATCAAGTCAAATGTGAAATATTTAATGAAAAAATTCAAATATAGGTATGAATTTATGTTAAGTGGACTGATATTGTTTGTTGCTGTTTTGCTGTTATCTCCCACTAACTGTGTCCATATGTGCTCCTAAAAGTAAATGTTTCTCATAAATTGACTCTTTAAGCCTCTCTTGTTGTAAAAAGCAGCTGACCTCAGACATGACCTTCAGATAATCTGAAGATGAGACCTTCTGGGTCAAGCTGTTTGACCTTTGACCCCACTCACCCGCCCTCTGAGTTTACAGATGCTGCAGGAGTGTTTCTCCCAAAACAAATGTGAAGCGCTTTATGAAATGTCCACAAAGCTGGAAACCATGATTGAGCTTTCTCTGACATTTTATTTTTTAAGTGACAATTTGAATTCTGGATTTTTTTCTTTTAAAGGAGTATTTTAGTACCATATTATTTGTACTTATACTAGGATCTGAGTACTTCTTCCACCTCTGGTTAAAACATCATGTTTTTGAGTGTTAAGAAAGGCTGACTATGCAGTCGTGTGAAAAGTGACTCATGGAGTTTTTCAAGAATATGGCTGCAAGATGTTTGACGTGCATGTTCTCGCTTGTTTTTCTCACAGCGAAGAAAGACGTGTGACATCTGGAAGCTCTCAAGAGGCCGGACTGAAACTCCCCCCTCGACGTTTCTCAGGACACAAACATCAAAGCTGGCGGCACATAATGATTTCACTTACACACACACACACACACACACACACACACACACACACACACACACACACACACACACACACACACACACACACACACACACACACACACACACACACACACACACACACACACACACACACACACACACACACACACACACACACACACACACACACACACACACACACACACACACACACACACACACACACACACACACAGCAGCCTCTAACCAGGGGGGCTCTGCAGGAGGTTGGGTGATAATGCTCTGCTGAAAACACGCAGCGCAGGTGTTAAGAGGGTAAAAAATTACAGGATGAATTAAGGTTTTACTGCGGGATGACAGGGAGGGATAAACAAGGAGTTTCCCTTTAAGTCTACTGTGCATTCTGTGAGGTTTCTTCGAGTCATTTTGGCACATTTGTGTTGTTATATCTGCATCGTTTCTGAAACTGCAGCACATTTGCACCTGTCGGCCACCATACATTTAGCCTTTAAGCATTTAAAACAATGAATACGCCCACTCTAATTGAATATCTTGAAAGGAAATGGCAAGATTGTAATATTATTCCTAAGAGAAAGCAGACATATATGTGAGGGAATGGTGCATTTAGTATCGAGCATGTATTGAGAACTTCTTCACAATAACTGAGTGGTGGCATCAATGGCTTTCTGCAGGGGGAAGTTGTTGGTTTGAACCCAGAAAAATAAAATCAGGTTAAATAACTTGAACCCTGACTGATGCACGGGGTAAATATGAAGCTTTACCTTCTCAGGTGCACATCTGAAAGCTGCAGGCCTGAGACTTTCTCACGTCACTGGAGAGGAGTCTGAATGAGAAGGCGACGCAGAACACCTGCTGCTGCTCTCCACTCTTTATTTAGTGGAAAGGTATTTCTCTTTAGTCTGAGCAGCCTGCAGCACCTGATATTTACTGCCACCTCCTCTCCCCCCCTGCAGTCCCATGGACAGATGATGAGCTATCAGCGGTTCATATTCAAGGGGTTTTCCTAAGATTTGGAAAACACAAAATGCATAATTTGCATATCGATTTTCTGCTTATTTATTACAATTTGAGAAGGAAAATTAAGTAGAAACCCCTATATTGATTTTTGTGTTGTGTTATTAAGGAAGCATAATGTTTTTTTTGGTCATTTTTATGCTATAAAATGTGTGTATTCTTTGCTATATGCATTTCTCTGTAAATAATGAGCATTATATGCAATTAAAAAAAGAAAAGCATTAAATTGTGAAGATATGAGTCAAAACAGCTTTAAAATTAAACCCACGATTAATAACAATGCATCATTTGTTCCTCAATTTTCTTATTAGATAAAGTCACCCATTCACATGGCACAGTAATAATTAATATCATGTGCATCCTTTTTATCCTCATGTTCCTCTAAATTACAGCCTGGCTTGCTCTTACTTCCACAGATGCTGATATTCTGTATACACACAGTTACACACACAGTTACACACATCAGTGCAACACACTGAGTGCATACAGCTGCAAACTGAGAGGAGATATGTAAAGTCTGCTGCACTAAAATCCAAATGTTCTTTTTTTAATTTACACGAAATTCGAAAATGTTTCAAAATGTGTCAGAAGTTTGGCTTGTTGTACAGATGTAAACATGTGGCAGCATTCTCAGCAACACGTGTCTTTTAATAACTTTCATCTGATGTGATAACTTTCATTTCGCACACTTTCACGCATGGATCACGTGGTGTTATTTACGCTCAGACTTGACGCTTGTGACGCATCATTTAGTGATTTAAACGAATGTGACGGGGGGGGGGCACAGAGGACCCACCTATGGGAGCGGACTCCTCTGAAGTCTAGTTCCTCCTCCTTCCTCTCCTCCCGTCATCTTGCGCACTCTTCACATGGAACCCGCAGTCTACAGAGAGAGGAGCGCAAATTGAAGCCTATTTTCTCCAATTATCTGAAGATAAGTGCAGTTTGCGCCACTTTCGCACAGTTTCTCTCGATGGGACCCGAAGACTGAAGCTAGTGTTCCACATCTCTCTAAGCTGCAGACATGGACTGCTGCGCATTGAAGCCTGTGTCCTCTAGATATTTACGCATCGCGTTGTTGTGGATGGTGCAATTAGGAGCTTTGGCGCAACAAGGTAGGTGGAATTAACTTTTTATGGCTAATGCAAATCACGTGATTTTACCCACAAGACATAGGCTACTAATACAGTCTCAGAAATATGTAAAAAAATGCAGGAAAAACGCATCTTGCCTGTAAAAAGGACCAAACTGCAGACTTGGACCGTGAGGCTGCATTCCTGTCAGTCGGCAGGTCCACAGGTTAGATGACCTGCAGAGACAGACAGATACTATAGGGACATTGAGACCCTTCCCTCAGAGAAACTCAAGGTTATTGCAGAAAAATGAATCACATGTGTCAGGATCAAATCTGTCTACTTTTAATCCAAATGCATTTTCATAGTTGTAAAAGTTCCCTAATTGATGCAGCAATTTGCTATTCATCAGAGGTGATCCTAGACTTTCGCTGGGCCCCATGAGGTGAAGACTCTGCATTGCCTTCATTTCATTTTAAAGCTATAACTGTAGTTATCCAAAATCCAATGTTAAATCCCTTTGGTTTTATGACGAGGGAACCATGGCAATGCTTACTTCTGGGTTTGCCTTGTTTAGCTGACCAAAATTAGGGAAATATTCAAAAATCTACAAGGATATACAAATAAGAGGATCCTGCTCGATAAGACATACTTTAATGTGTCTGAAAGGACATTTGTTCTGGAATCGTACAAACTACATATCACGATAAAATGACATCAAAGTATTAACACGACTTATGTACTTATACACAGTTTGCACATACATACACACCGACTGACAATGGCAGATGTATTGCTTACCAATATGTATTTAAACCTTCAAGATCACTTTTTGTCGTATATATTGTTAATTTCTGCTAAAACAAATCACATGTTGGTGAGAAAACACAAAACAGGAAGATTTACAAGACGTTTTAGTCAGAACAGCTGCGTCTAGACGAGCAACATTATAATAACATTTTACAGGAGGTTTAACAATACAAGGATCCCTTTTACAATATTTTTCTTGGAGCCCTGAATATTTGCCTGCTTTGCTCCTGCTAATTATCACTTCCACAAAACAGTCTCTTAGAGAACATGTAGTCCTAAGTGTTTGAAACATTATTCACTGCAGTAGACTTCATTAAAATCAACAACAAACAGGGGAATAAGCAGACTCGTAAACACAATCCCAGAGAAGCGCTCGTAAACATGTAATTGAAACAAGATTAGACAACTTGTCTAATGACTCATTACACAATATGACACTTGTTGCTCAATATATTTCAGTTAAAGCCTCTTTTCAGAGTCCTTCTCTCTCTGACATGACAGTTAGAGCTGTTGTTATGTGCTGTCTCTGCTCATATCTGTCTGCGGGGCTACACATCAAAGCTCACGTCGTAAACTTTAAGAGGGGCTGTCGTAAAACCAAGCGCTGTGTGTTCCTCGCAGAGCTTTGTAACAGGAATACCAGGCATTTCTGAGCCAAAACAAAGTCTGCCGCAGCGCCTGGAACTCCAGGACACACATGATGTCCAGTTGACTTCAACAATCAAACAGTGTTGGGTTAACCTGCTGAAAGAGATATTTTTAAACTTAAGCACTGAAAATGCCTTCAGCGGCTCATCAATACAAAGGGTTGCTGTGCAAACAAACCTTTTTAAACCCTCTGAACTTTATCCTGTAGACTTGAAGATCCTAAAGTTGACTAAAATGCCAAGTGTTTCAGACTATAGTTGAAACACATAGCACTTTTAAAGTCTTTATGTCCTCTCAAAGCAAATTGATTTGAAATTGATTGTGATAAATCCCTTTTTTATTCTGAACTTGAGATCATTTGATAAATATGTTTTGTTTTCCACCATAACACAGCATTATAATGGGTGATAATGTGTCTTATATCACACTGCAGCTCCCCCTGACCTTTGACCCTGTCCTGACTGTAGTTTCTGTTTCCTGGTGAGTGACAGTCCTCTAAGAAAAGCCTCAGTTGTGTTAACACCGCGCTCTCCCAAGTTAATCTCCTTTCCTGAGAAACGGCAGAGCTCCCTGCAGAGTCCCTGCACATCTGGGCTGCTGAGGGCCCCCCTCACAGCGGGACCCCCTCCCCCGGGACCCCCTTCATTAGCTCACACCCCCCCCCACCTCTCCCCAGCTCTGTAAACTCATTAAGCCACCAATTGGAACAGTTTACCCAGCGGCAGAAGTCTCAGGGAGTGTCCTTCTGCCTGAAAAGCTGGGTGTTTGCACAACCTGTGACCCCGAGTCTTGTCTTGCAGACGGGGAACATGCAGACGAGGTAAACACCAGGGGCTGTCAACACCAAACCCCGCCTGTAAGACTTTGTTTAGGCTTTGTAACTTCGCCCTGTCCATTCATGGCTTTGTCAGTGTCAAAACATCCTAAATACCTGGTGTGTTTGTGTTCCCTGACTTTGCTCAGCCGCCACAAAGTCAAACAGGGGAAAGGGAATAGCCTTTGTTAGGAAAAGCCCCCGACTTTGAGCCATTTCTCTTGACAGATGTGCAGCTTACAGAGTTTGCTTGAGTGGAAAACGGCATGTTCTGTTTGGTTACACGGACCTGCAGAGACAGAAAGACATCAAGGTTATTTAAGCTAATTGAAACACGTGTCAGGTTTACATTTGGACAAAAAGATGTCAGATTACGAGAATAAAGTCATTTTTCTCGCCAGCTATCATACTTTATGCAATACATATTTAACACAATCAATAATCAGGTCTAGAAAACACACAAAAAAGAAGCAGAAAGGGAAGATTTAGCATATTTCTATAGAGATGTGGAGCTTTTCAGAGTGTGTTAGTGTGAAGAACTGCAGGTTCCTCTCAGATCATTCCCCCAGCAGCCTCGCGCTGCAGCTGCAGGAGGTGTTCGGAGGGCGGTCATGCGCTGTCGGCTTGATCGTCTCCTCCCGGGGTGAGGTTAGAGAGGCGAGAGGCTCGCAGGAATGTCTGTTGTTCTACGTGATTTAGATAACTGTGATGCTTCCTGCTCATCTGCTCAATGCCAGCTGACAGTTTAAAGAGAAAGTCAAACACATGACTCTGCCACCCATTCTCTGCTGCCTTTGATAGTGAAGCTCCTCAGCAACAGATCATCACATTACGGATGTTTAAACATAATTCTGCAGGATGTAGATTGGATAAATGTGCTCAATTTAATCCGTCTGAGTTTGGTTGATTTCTTTCTAAAAGGACATTCTTGAAATTAAATGATAGTACATCGACCTTGGATGTAACTGTTTTGTCAAACTTTTACCCCCAAAGAACAAACGTCCACATTCAAGTGTAATTGAAGCTTTTTACCTGCAGTGTCAGGGGAGAGGGTTAACTCCTCCATATTTCCCTCGCAGGCTTGTGTGGCTTTTGTTTTGTCTATCTTCATCCCGTCTGTCGTCAGACCTCACACTAGGACTCAGTCAAAGATAGAGACACGACTCCGGGGGGAAACGGGGCCTGAGATACTGCAGTTTTTCATTTCCTCATGATTCAATTCACAGATCTGGAACTGAAAAAGACAAGAGGGAAAGGAGGCGATCCAAAAAGAGTTTTTTTTACAGACTTAAAACAGACATCTGCTAAATCAGTGTGTGATTTCTACCTTCCAGCTCCAGAGTGTTACACCGGAGGTCACCGGACTCTGCGTAGCCCCTATCGCAGCGTCGACTTCGACTCCACGGAGATCCAGGACACGGCCATCCAGGATCTAATCTGCGACCACTCTCTGTCCCCGGGCTGGTACCGCTTCTGGATCAACAACAAGCCGGCGGAGATGCCCACCTCCTGCGTAGAGGTATGCACAAAAAACAGGGGCAAACAAAACGTAATTGTTCCACTTCCTGTGTCCCTACTTTGACTTCTTAATGGTGTTGTACCTGCCTGCAAGCATCCAGTATCCTGTAATAAGCACCTTCAGCCCAGGTGGAGGGTCAAATAACCTGCAGGTAATGTTTTACCTCCGGGGAATCATCTCTGGAGTTCGTGTGTCCATCACCTGCCAGGATCGGAGACATATGATTCATTTGTTCAATATAGAGTGCTGCAGGAATAAGTCCTTATGCCATCCCTCCACCAATCTATAGATACATTTGGATGTATTGCCTGTTTTCAGATGAACCACTGCGGCACTCAGGCTCCGGTGTGGCTGTCGCTGAAGGACGCCCCCCTGCCGCGCCCCGGCGAGCTCCGGCAGCTCTCCGCCTGCGCCACCTGGCAGTTCTTCCAGGGCAGCGCCAAGGACTGCTGCCTCTTCCGCATCCCCGTCACCGTGCGCAACTGTGGGGTGTTCATGGTGTACCGCCTGCAGCCCACGCAGGGGTGCATGGGATACTGCGCCAAAGGTGAACCTGAGATAATCTGTAACAAACAAAATGGTATTATTATTAGATTACTATATTTTTGAGGCAGATACCTATATTGATTTATCATCTGATAAGGATATATACTGGCTTATATATCCTTATCATCATCATAATAAATTAAATAAATGTGATTCATGTTTCAGTTATGCCAGATTTAGGACCCCGACTCTGCCCACCAGGGGAAGTAGAAGTGAACGGCCGCTGCAGAGGTGAGAGGAATTCTATTAGTACAACTCTAAGTTAGAAAAATATGTACTTTGAAAAATAAAACATGTGCTTTTTTTTCATTTTCAAAGCCTTTGAATCTCTTCTGTGTGTGTTTCTAGCCTCCGTCCCCTCGCTGCCGTCCCGGCCGCTGATCTCCGCGGAGCTCCTCGGCCACAGCGTGCACCTCAGGTGCTCCTTCGTGCCGCCGCCGTGGAGCCGGCCGCTGGGCTTCCAGGTGGTGTGGGCGCGACACATCGGCCACAGCATGAAGGCGGAGATCCGGCAGGAGTCCACGCTGAAGCCCTTCTCTCTGGTGGAGATGGACGGCGTTCACTTCAGGCTCGGAGAAACGGTAATGCCTGCCAGACTGTGATGAGGGTTTGAGAGGAGCACATGTGGAGGGTTTGACCCCAGGAGTGTGTAAGCCGTGGATCATGCCGACCTCTTTCTTTCACAAAGCAAAGGCAGAGAGGCTTGTCATATCCCGTTAAGAGAAGAGGAGGGCGGGACGTTAAATCAGTTGCAGGCTTCACATGCTTCACATTTAAACCTCTTCATTCAACTCTTCACAGAGAATTCTAGGGAAGTTATTTTTACACCAACAATTGCAGAAGTACAAGATAAAGTTTTCTCCTCAACTCAACACTTGGATCGTAGAAAGAGCTGTTCGTGGGCTTTATTAAGCTGTTTTCAGTGTCCAGATTCCAACATCATACTGACAGGAAGTTGGAAGATTTAGGAGGTGTGCTTGTTTGCTCTGCTGCAAGCCTCTGTAACATGAACTATGTGCATATTCAGTTACTCCTCTAAAGCTGCAAAGTGAATGTGCATGTTGGTACCAGACGACATAGGGTGATGCACAGCATTTAGACAGCCTGTTTTATTTTTTAATCCAGGACCTAGAAGAGGAACTACATGTTGATTTGCATCTGTTTAGACTGGAGCAGGAAAGTCTTGTGTTACTGACCAATAAGCAGAAGCTGAACTATGGCTCTCGTGAGAGGGAAACAAGGAAGAAATCTGTCAGCTGTTTGAGGGTGGAAGACTTTTGTTTCTTTATTTAAGGGGCCCTTTTTCAGGTTTCATAATTATATTTAGTGTCTCTACTGTGACATGTCTCCATGCTTAAATGTTCAAACAAATCTTAATCTTTTTCATTCTGCCTGTGCTGCAGCACCTCTTTTCACCCTCTGTCATAAACCAGAGCCAAGTCTGCTCTGATTGGTTAGCTGTCCGGCTCTGCTTTGATTGGTCAACTTCTTAGCGATGACAATATGCTGCACAGCTTCAGAGCCTGAAGGCATCTAACTTCAGAGAGAAATTATCTCCTGCCAGGAATCATTAAGTGATTACATTTCTAACGTGATGCCCTGTGAGGTGATGTCACTCCTACAGCTGTGCTCAGCTGAGCTCATTCTCCATATTTGGACACCAGGGTTGTGTTAGTTGTGTCTGGAGAGTGTTGCAGCGGTCTGCGCTCGCTCACAGATACTTTCTTTAAGACGTGTTGATGAAGAGTCCGGTTAAAGGTCATCTACATTTTTATAAACGCTCTAGTGACCAGGGGACCACTGTACGTGGGGAAATATATACATTTTATTTCACACGATGCAATATAGAAAACACATTTTTAGCCACTAAATGTGATCTATGTAGGGCAGGAAGGTTTTCTTTTAGGAAATGCAACCTTGATGTGAAATATTTCTTTATCTTTCCTTAAACATGTGTTATTTAATGAGTTAAGGCCTGTTTTCCTGCAGTTCTCCTGCAGTGTGTCGACTTTCACAGCTAACTCCAGCCAAAGCAGATCTACTCCAAAAGAAAGTGAGGGTTTCTATGCCGGACTGAAGGTAAACATATGTGTTTTATATTTTAAAATAACTCCAGTCTACACCGTACAGCAGCAAATGGAGAAAACCTTCCCAGTTAGACTCACCAATGACTTCTTTCTCTCCAGTTCTCTCCAGAATCGCTGCACATAGTGGAGAACAGTAAAGAGCACGAGGTGACGGTGCACAGCACGGTGCCCATCCCCTGCTTCGGCCCCGACCACGGCCACCAGTGTGGGGTCCCTCTGGCTCTGAGCGTGCAGGACCCAGGTCAGACCTGCAGGGAAAAGCATCAGATATGAGAGTGCTGCATGTTGACATTATCTAAAACCACTTACAATAAATGCAATCAACCAAGAGGGTTCAGATGCAGAACAGCAAGAATCCTGCAAGTGCAGTAGCTTCAAATGATACACACTGACCAAAAAAGAGGATCTAAAGTAGCTTTTAAGAAACTAACTAACCTTTTTATCTATATCATATATTTTAGAAGGGATTGCTATCGCTGAAAGGTGCAAACATTGTCACAAGCACCTTCAATTAGATCAGAGTAGACTCCAGGACAACATGCATTAAAGCATTTCTTGTGTTTTGCTGTGACTTGCCCCGTACATCCTCACATCAAAGAACCATCAGGAACATGATGACAGTCCTGCAGGCAGCTGTGCGTCGTCCCTTCACACTAACTCACGGCTGTGTTGACATCCGCAGACGGACTCGGACACGAGTCCCCAAACGTGGCGCTGTCGGCCTGCCAGGTGGAGCTGCGGCCCAACGCCTGTAGCGGGGGCAGCTGCGGCCGGGCCACGGTTTTAATCACCGCCGTCACCGACTTCACACGAGACGGGAACCGCCCGAGTCTGATCAGTGTCTTCCCCGGGTCCAACGCACCCCGCCTGTGGAGAAGCTATGTCCCAACGTCCCTGAAAGTGAGTATAAAATAGCATTTATTGTCAAAGATTGATTAAAAGTCATCTTTAGAGCGTTTCAAAAGATCTTTGAGCATCTTAAACATTGTTTTCCATGCAGAGGATCCAAGATATATAGCAAACACTGTTTACTGGCATTTCAAGGGATTTCAAGATATTCTTAAGAGTTTCCAGGTGTTCACGAAGAAGTTCAAGTCTATTTTGACGGTGTTCTTCGTGAATTTAAGGGTTTTTTAATCGGACATTGAGCGATCCTTGAACAGGTTCAACAAGTACTTCAGATAATTCAGGGGTTTCAAGAGGTTTTTGATGAGGATCCTGGCAATCCAAGGTATGTATTTAAATGCTCATCGTCCCTTGCAGGGCTTCAGAATTGGAGGTTGATTAGATTTAGTAGAAACTGAAGTGGAAAAGTGGACCATGAGGAGAATCCTTGAGGACTCTCCTTTCATACTTCAGGGGCTTCAAGAGGTCTGTGAGGAGGATCCTGGAAATCTTGAAGAGGTTTTAGGGAAAAGTGGAGTCTGAGGAATGCATTTGAACGCTCGTCGTCCATTGTAGAGCTTCATAAGTGGACGTTGATTAGTTCGCAGAAACTAAAAGATACTTAAGGGGTCTTTCAGTAGCCTCCATAAGATCTTCAGGGTCATAAAAGCGGCCTTTTTGAGAACCAGAGGTCAGTTTGGTATAATACAAATTTTAATTTGGTTCTTTGAGGTGGTTCCTGGGGGGGTATCGTGCATTTTCTAAGTGGACACAAGCGTCCAAGACTCAAAGAGTTATAATTTGCAGTTCGAAATAATTACAGGTATTACTTAAATGAGAAAGACGGCTCTAATTGAAGGTCTCTCCTTCATACTGTTTACATATACACACAGTTGTACAGTGCTTAATAAAACAGAAGGGACGGTGGGTGTTTGGGGTCCAAAGCGTGCCCGTTTGATGGGCTGACATCATGTTGAAGGAGCGCTGCCATACACTGTCATTACGTTGTGATGTAAGCCCTGCAGACACTGTGTCTCTGAGGGTCTGCAGTGGAGCAGTTTTCCCATCTGTGTCAGAGGAAACATCAAAGCTAGAGGCAAGGGGGTCACGGCGGGGACAGTCTCTAATAATCTGTGTTCTGCTGACCTCTGCCACCAGGTCACGGTGCAGGACGTTCCCACTTCCATCTGCTACTCCCTCACTGACCCTCATGTCATCACTCTGGACGGCAGGTAATTCACCTCTTAATAAGTCAATAGCGGTCAAATGGTGATTTCAGTGTTGCATGGGAAAGGAGACAAACATCACCATGCAAATCAAACAGAAGCTTGCTAGTTTGCATATAAGTGAATTTACCTTAATAACTTAAGTATATTATCTCACTTATATATCCTTCTTTTGTCGTGTGTTTGTTCAGACGTTATGAAAACCACCAGACCGGCACCTTCACCCTCTACCGGAGCCTGGTCAGGGATTTCGAGGTGCACTCCCGTCAGTGGGACTGTGGCAGCAGACACTACGCCGTGGCCTGTAACTGTGGCGTTGTGGCGCGAGAGGGGAACGATATCGCCGTGTTCGACATGTGCAACGGGCAGCCGCAAGAAACCAGGCCGGAGTTAACGCTGAGAAACATCGGGGACAGCGAGGGCAGCCGGGTCCGCGTGCTGGAGTCCCACCAGGGGAAGAAGGTCACCGTAGGTATCCGAACATTTTGACACTGATGGAGATTTGTGTGAAAAAATCATCGCTGGCTGGAACTTTGTTTATTGGTTTACATCAGCTGTTGCAATGAAGCAATCATAACTTTTCACTTTCATACTCACCTTTGCTGCATGGGCAGATGTTAATGAGCTGCTGGATGTGCCTCTCCTCTCGTAGTTGATCTTTCCCTCCGGGGCCTTTGTTAGGGCCGATGTTGGCGATTGGGGGATGAGTCTGTCTGTCCGTGCTCCCAGCGTCGACTTCGGACACACGCAGGGCCTCTGCGGCACCTTCGACCGCAACGGACACAACGACTTCCACGGATCAGACGGGGGCATCTACGGCCCCGAGGACCTGCACCGATTCATAGAGGAATGGAGGTCAGTTCATGTGTGAATGGTCTGCAAAGTCTAAAATCCCTGTGTTCCCTCCATACTTGGACACTCCCCACTCTTTTGTCCATTAAATGAAAAACATTTCTTTCTCTTTTTCTATCTATGTTAGGATAGCTCCAGGTGAGAGTTTATTCGACAGGACGCCTGTTGGGAAAACGCGGGAAGTGAGGCGTCCGTTCTGTCAGTGTCAGAAAAGATTCAGCGCTCCTCATCACGGCGACAGAGCGATCAGGAACTTGTACAATCCCTCCGCCCACTCCGACTGCATCGCTTATGATGACGTGGACTACACATCCGTGTTCCCCTCCATGGACACGACAGTGGAGTACATCAAGAGTCCGGAGAGGGACGAGCGCATCCTGGACATGTCATCATTCATCAGTCTGGAGAGTAGGGGGCTGCAAGACGGAGATGAATCAGAGAGCGAGTTCAGGGAGGATTTCCTGCTCAGGACAAGGAGACATTATGAGTTTAAACCTGTGTTCGCTGCGCAGAGCCTCAGCCAGGCCGACCTGGAGAGCTTCGCCTACTTCTTCCCAGAGGATCACTTGGAGGAGGCCCGAGAGGAGGTGCAGCCTCAGTGGCCCACGCCCAGTGGCCTCACTTCATCTAAAGCTCTGGAGGTGTGTCAGATGGCGCTGGGTAACTCCACAGTGGGCGCGGTGTGCCGGGGGCTGCTGGGTCGCAGGCTGGACGAGGCGGTGGATCTGTGCATGCTGGACCTGCAGCTGAAGGACGACCTGGGCTGGGAGAAGGCGCTGCTGCCGTACCTGGAGAACGAGTGCGAGAGGAGGCTGCTGGAGAACCGAACGCAGAGAGACTCGGAGGAGACGTCCACCGCGGAGGAGGTGGTGGCGGCGCTGCGATGCCCCAACTTCTGCAACGGGAACGGGGAGTGCACGGAGTGGGGCTGCCAGTGTTTCCCCAGCTTCAGCTTCTACGACTGCAGCCTGGCCATCAGTGAGTGTATCAGAATTTACAATTAAATACCATACGATGCTCTGTTTGAATAGTCTTGTAATGAGCTTTACACACGGTCCTTTCTCCTCTGACAGGCCAGCCGGTGGAGGTCACAGATCTGGAGAACGGAGGACTTTGTGACATCCGAGCGTTCAACTGTCGCAGCGTCCGAGTGTTCGGCCTCGGCTTCATCGACTCCCCCGACCTCAGCTGCCACGCCACCAGACTAAAGGTGAAGGGAGGTCGAAGGTCGTGCTAAGAGCCTGCAAAAAAAACAAAATGTCCTCTGACTCGTGTCTTTGTTTTGCGTCCACAGTACATGAACGGAGTTTGGGTTCCCGGGGAGAAACAGAGGACGAAAGCCACCTTCCTCAACTCCAAGGCGTTAGACTGTGCTGTTCCATCTTTAAGCATCACGGCTGTAAACACAGAAGACTTCATGATGGACGACAAACCGTACGCACGCTGGGAGATTAAAGTAATGCCTCTCATCTTTTCCTATTTGTTGGTGTTTTAAGAAAGCGTGTCCTGCAGCTCCTCTCTTTCTTGTCTCAGGTGACGAACGACGGCTCTCAGTACAGCCAGGCTAAAGTGCTGACCATCTACGACGGCGTGTGTCAGATCTGCGAGGCGTCGCGCTCAGGACTCTGTAAGTTAAAGGTAATTCACGTCCTGTTAGAGCTGCAGAATCTATTCTCTAGACTTGTTGATGTTAAAATGATTAAACCAGAGACAGTGTGTTTTCCCATCCTCCTCTTTAAACATGGAGCAGCTGCTTTTTAAGCCCCTAACAAAGCTGCAGAGAGGTCCTGTTGTTACTGGAACTGCTTTTTATGGGAGGCAGGAAAACATGCATCCTTACAAAACAACCTGGAGTGAACTCATGTACTTAGACACTAGGAGAAATGCATGCCAGATCTGGACTAAATTGAATTAACTTGAGTTCAGATGGAGCACAGGATTTCCTGTTTTGTACCTGGCATCTCCGGAGAAAACACGCAACAGGAAAATAAACTTAAAACACAAAACAGACCTTTTTTTTTTTTTCAGGAGAAGACGTGTAACATCGACGGGATGTGTTTCGCAGCGGGGGTCTCCAGCCCCAGCAGCCCCTGCCTCCTCTGTGACCCCGACACATCCAAATTCACCTGGTCCGTCAATCAAGGTACAAACAGCTGTTTGTGCATCATCCTATGCAAAACAATACATCATGGAAATAACCATGGATAATCAGGTCATTATTTTAATCCTTAATATGTTAGTTTATCAGCTAACATAAGTGATAAAAGTATATAGCAACAAACAGGCAGCTGGCCCCCTTAGTAATGCTTCAGGGATGTTTGAGTTTTCCTCCAGGAAGTGTTTTTGACATGCAGCTCTTTAATGATGAACACCAGGGGAAACAGTATTTATCTGTATTTACCGTGTCAGTACGCTGTTCCTGTGTCAGCCGTCACACTGTGGTCCTGTTTGTCCTCATTAGCAGATCAAAGGAGCGGAGGTCTACATTTCCCAGCATGCCCTGACCTGTCGCTTAACCGCTGTGAGATAGAGGAGAGAAAAAAAATCACATGGCTGATTACCACAGCCTCATAGACTGACAGTTATCCTTATTTACACTCAACAAAACACAAGACAATCTAATGGTCAGGAAATAAAAAAAGCCTTCCATCTGTGCATACACTTATCTCGTGCCCTCATTGGTCATGTGCGCGTCCGTGTGTGTTGGAGGAGGGAAGTCTCTTCAGAGGCAGATTTTTTCCGGTTGTGTACTTTCAAATTGTAGCGCACTCGAGCTGGTTTCTCCATTCTTACCTACCCTACCTTTAAGCAGGTAGATATAATGTGAAATAAGGAATGTATATGATTGATAACCTTATGTTGTTGGTTGGTTCCAATCCCTGCAAAGCTTGTGGTTCTCAAGTGTTCCTCTCCTCTGTGTTTAGTCAACGAGCCTCCATCTTTCCACCGGCCTCAGAGCGCCCTGCGGACGTTTTCCGGGGAGAACTTCGTCTTCCAGTTCGCAGCGTCGGACCCCGAGGGCTCGGCGCTCCTCTTCCAGCTGGAGGAGGGTCCGGGGGGGGCCGTCCTGTCCCCTGCAGGCCTCCTCATCTGGAGGGTCCCGTCGCTCTCTGAGGAGGAGGAGGAGGAGGAGCGTCCATCGAAGCGGTCTGTCCGCTTCACGCTGTCCGACGAGTGCAACGCCCAGAGCAGCTTCTCTGTGGAGGTAGAGCAGGAGGAGGAAGAGGATATTAACACAGTAATAATGGAATGAGTGGAAGTTTAAAGACTTTTAGATAAATGTATCCCTGTCAATTTAAAGATGATATTTAATATGGCAAAACATTTTTTTACTAGGAAATAACTGACAAATATTTGAATGAAATGGTGTCATGCCTAAGCAGTGTGTCTGTCTCTGTGCTGCAGATCGACGTGGTGCCGTGTGGCTGTCAGAGCGGGGGAACCTGTGTGACGGACGTTCATTTCCCAGCAGGCAGTGGGAGGTACCTGTGTGTGTGTCCTGAGGGGACGCAGGGCGGCCTCTGCGAGCAGCATGAGGACGCCTGTCTGTCCGACCCGTGCGCGGCGGGCACGTGCTTCAACACAGAGAGTGGGTACAGGTGTGAGTGTCCTGCAGGGGTGACAGGTGAGACCTTAATGAAACTCCTTTCAACGTGTGCTTACAATAACATCTATTTATGTAATACAAATATAAACAATATAGCCAACAATATAACTGCAGACATCATTTCCTGTGTGTGTTTGCAGGTGTGACATGCCTGGAGGACATCGATGAGTGTGAAGAGACGCCGTGTTTCTCTGAAGTCCCGTGCTTCAACAGCTTTGGTTCCTATAGCTGCGGCCCGTGCCCCAAAGGCATGCTGGGAAATGGGACGATATGTACAGGTAAGCATGAACATCAAGTGCATAATGAATCACTTCTGAAAGAACCCCTAACGGTGCAAACATACAGCATGACATTGCTCTTTCCCATACACCTGGATCTAATTACCAGGAATAACATGACTTTATCAGATAATACTTTAATGGTGCATGTACGTTGCTGTACAATCACATTGGATAAGAGCGTCTGCAGCCGTGCGTCTCTGAGGAACGCAGTTTTTTTGACGATGGAAACCAGATGGCTGATGGGAGCTGATAGTGTGCTACCCTTCGAATCACAGCCACTGCTAACTGGAGTTAATGCTCTGACAAACTGGACTGACACACAATGTTTGTGTACATGCAGGGGTTTGAATTCACACAGTAAACACGTAGCTAATACTTACAGAAGTATAAGCTATAAAGCTGCTTTACTGGGACTCTGCAGGCAGACGTGTAGAAAAGAACCAATGGATGCTGCAAGGCTGCACATTTTAAATACTTTTAGACAAATTTAGAGCTCGTTTGTTGATTTAAAACAAATTAAATCCGCAAACAAGCAAAATATTTGTATGCAGGGATAAATTCTGCAAGGCTACAAAAACGTCAGACTTTTGGGTGTAATTTGGAGCTAGTGCGTGCCGGATAAATGCAGAGCTTGTGTTTTAAAAGTCCATAATAGCAGTTGCTAATCATCTCTAGATGTCGAGTGTGGCTTTCTTTCAAATGCGTTGTTCAGAAATCAGAAACTTGAAACATGGCATTTAAGCAGGAAAATATCAAAATGACATCCATGTTTCATGTCATTATCGTCTCCTAATGGAGGATTTGGCTGGGAGCAAAGCACACACTATAAATTAGTTTGGCATTTTTATGGCATTTTGAAGACAGATCGTTGGATTTCCTCTTTGGTTTTACAGCTCACTCTCCATTCATTTGATCCTCTCCAGTAAAGAGACTCTATTGGACTTATTTGACCTCCTTGGTTAGTTTAGTGCTTCTCAAAGTGTGGTCCGCGGACCACTGGTGGTCCGTGAGCGCCCCCTAGTGGTCCGTGAGTATATTGGTAACATTTCACATTTGAAATAAATACATTTCAGTTTTCCGCACTCTCGCGGGAATATCTCCGCAATGGAGCGAGCTTAACTTTTGATTGCCCAGCGCAACACCTGCGTCACACATGTTGCCACTTGTTTGTAGCATTTTCAGGCGATTTGTAATCTGTTCTAGAAAAACAATGTGTTTTTTTTAGATTTCAAGAAGCGTATTATGTACTGTTGGAGTGGTAAGCAGGCCTATTGTTTTGGGATATTTGTGGAGTTAGGTGGTCCGCGAGTGTTTTTTTATTGGTTAAGTGGTCCTTGGTATGAAAAAGTTTGAGAAACACTGGTTTAGTGCAAAAGATGCACAACTTAATGTGTCGGGGGTCTTTCAGGAGCCAGGGGTCAGAACTTAAGCTCTTAAATCTTAAATTTCCTGGATGCAAAACTGGATGTTTTTCTTTGTGGTCCCCTTTGAAATCAGTTCTGCAGGCAAAAGCAGACAAGGATAAAACATGCAAAAGATAAAATGCATGTATTTCAAGGATATACCTTTATACAATAATCAACCTGAAAATGAGCAGGATAGGGCCCCTTTAAGAGTCAAACACCAGAACAGTTGTGTGATTATGTAATCTGCCTCTTTGGCATTAGATTTAAACAAGAAATGTGTTAACAATTTAACACACAATAAATCATGTTTTGTTTGTCTTGCTGCCATTCCTGCTTTCAATCCCGAGAAGTGTTTCCTGCTGCACTCTCTGCTGTAAAAATAATCTATGAGAGGTAATCATGCCTCGGTGAGATCTTTACAAAAAGTCTCCTCCTGAGCGTCTGTGCTATTAAAAACAATCTTTTGACCCATCCAGGCTGTAGTTTAATATGTGGAAAATCTAGAAATGGCATTGCATTACATGGCAATCTAAAATAAATGTGTGTTTCTCTTCACACAGTCCCCAACTCGCCAACATCTGCTCCTCGTATGACCGTCCACAGAGCTCCAGATGTTCCGCTGCAGCCCAAAATAAAGACAGAAACTTTCCGGAAGACCTCAAGCGTTAGCTCCCCGCAGACAGCGAAGACGACACAGAGGATCAACCCAAACCCATCACAAGCCAAGACCACCTCATGGAGAAGGCCTCCAGGAATTAACCTGAACCCAGCGCTCAGTCAGGCGGAAACGAACACAAGCATCTCAGCAGTCACACCAAACGTGTCCCAAACTAAAGGAGAAGCTCTGGGAAAAAGCCCAGGAATTCAATTAAACCCATCCACGGCTAACACAGACACTTTGAAGGATATTCCAGGAATTAAACCAGACCAAGTCGAGCCTGATCCGCCCAGAATCAGCAACACTATTCCCAAAACATCCTCTGCAGGCCAAACATCTGGAAATGGAAGCCCAGCATCAGGTAAGCGGTTTTCAACAAATCCAATCATCTGTATTAACAATTACAAATGTTATAAGGTTGTAGTGGGTTGTAGTTGTCTACTAAGACCTATTTTATTATTTATTTGTTTATGTTAAGTACATCTACTATACATAACATTCAGGGTTGGGTTGTAACGGAACACATGTAACGGCGTTAAGCAATTGGAAACAGGACTCAGAGAGACACGAGGAGAGCTGGAGCTTTGATGGCAAACACTGATGATTTATTTGGAGTTACGGCCGGAGAATTGACAAGACAGGTGGTGTGTCACGAGTTGACACAGCGGATGCCAAACCAATTCTGAAGAACTCTTTCTGTAGCTCGATGTTTTAACTAGTTCGCAGTGTAATAATCAACATTCTTTATCAGTGAGACTAAACAAATATGGACCCTGAATCTAACTAGAGCTCTCGTCCATAGAAAAGAATGTGCGCCAGGGAACCTACGTCCCTGAACAGTAAACTACCTCATGGCGGCTTGTGCTCTGTCATAGAGAGAGAGAGAGAGAGAGAGAGAGAGAGAGAGAGAGAGAGAGAGAGAGATGAGAGAGAGAGAGAGAGAGAGAGAGCGAGCGAGAGAGAGAGAGAGAGAGAGAGAGAGAGAGAGAGAGAGAGAGAGAGCTGACATCATCATTCATTCATTCATTAACAGTCTGAACTGTCACAGAGAGGGAGGGAAGATTTCACACCCTGCCAGTTTATCATCATGTCATACAGACAGGCTCGAGAGCAAAGGGATTACATAATCAGGATGCAATCAATTCCTACAGTTACATTTCAAAAAGAAGTATTCAGATTACTTGTACATTTTTTTAAATGGGGATTACAAACAGGATTACAATGTTACAAAACATTTGATATAAAAGGAAGACAGGATTTTTGTATTTTGTGTAGGCATTCTTCTTAGATATATATACATATAAACACACATATATTTAAATGTGTTATATATTTTAAATATATATACATATATGTTAGAATATATAATATACAAAGATATAATTATATATAAAAAAATGTATATATATTGAAATAAATAAAATTCACACACATAAATAAATATTTAAAAAAAAGAAGATTATTATCATGTTATTTAATAAAAAAATAACTAGTAACTATAAGTGTCAACCAAATGTATTGCAATAAAGAGTACGATATTTCCTGAGATGTAGTGGAGTAGAAGTATTTAGTAAAATGGTACCTCAATATAATACTAGTTAATACACCACCTTGAACTGAAGTGTGCCATTTCCACAATTTCACCTCCTTCTATCACCTTCTATGATAACTGTGTGGTTTTCTGACTCTGGCCCCCCGTGGAGCCTCTGTCATGTTAAACGGTGCAGCTCTGGACGGATCGATCAGACGCTGCATGAGTTACCTGAGCTGCAGTCTTTAAGCTGCACATCGATCTGTTTCGCTGTTTAAGACAGTACAAAGAATGCAGTCCGGGTGATGTTTTTTATTTGGGGTGCAAATGAGAGGGAGCTGTCCAGAATGACACCAAGATGTTGTGTTTGAGTTCTTGATAAGCCATTAAAACAGTAAAATACGTGTCTCCTGTTCACCAAAACATACCCATCTCTTATGGAAAAAGAAAGTATTCTAAAAGTAATCTGAATACGTTACTTTTTTAAGACACGTAACTGTATTCGGATTCGGATTACTTTCAGTATTCAGGAACTAATTACATTTACAAAGTACCCTGATAACATTAATGCATTATACTCTGGTTTGTGTCTCAGGATCTAGTTTGTCTCCGGTTGTGAATATATCGGCGACCTGTGCGAGCCGGCCGTGTTTCCTCGGCGTTCAGTGCATCAACCGCTTGCCGCCACACGTCGGATACGTCTGCGGGCGCTGCCCCCCCGGACTCTACGGGAACGGACGCGTCTGCATGAAGAACGCCAAGGCAGGTGAGGAGATTTTACATTTTGCAGGTTTCAGGTCTTTAACCACTGGCTTTGACATTTCTGTTTTTGTACAGAATCTGGTAACCTCAAACGGTTCATTTTGGCAACATTTTAAAATCACTTCCTGTCTTTCCTCAGCGTCCAACCACCTCTCCCAGCAGCAGACGCTACGCAAGACTATCAGATCCCCGCAGGGAGGGAGCAGCAAGGTGTCCCAGCTCCACCTGCCCCACCTGCCCTACAGACACACCGTCAAACACCTGTCCTGGTCCGTCACCAGAGGGAGCAGAGACAACTCACTGCAGGACCCCGCTGCAGGGAGGGGGGGCGGCACCGGGAGGAGGGAGGCGGTCACTGCAGCCCCCAGAACATCAAACAGCGCAACGCATGTCACTGCAAATACTCACATCCCCCGACACAGCATCAGGACGTATACTAGACCCAGCACCACAGCCTCCAGAGAGATAAAGGGTCAACATGTGACAACCTCAAAGGTATTTCAATTGTACTATTTCTTTATATTATCTTTAATTTCTTAGTATTTTATGTTCTTTTTTTGTTTAAGGTGAGCCAAAGGCACTAAAGATTTATGTTTCCATCTCCCTGCAGTCTGTAGGAGCCCTGACTGCAGCCATGTTTCCTAAGGTAACACCTCCCGCTCCCCCCCTCTCCACGCAGTCCAAACAGGTAACACACCCCCAGCTCTACCACATGTCCTCCACCCAGTCCAAACCCTGGACCCCAGCGAGACACGCCTCCCCCCTCACCGCGGCCCTCACCTCTCTGTCCTACTCCCTGTCCGAGCTGGAGTTCTCTGCTGACGGAGACGAGGCTGAGGCGAGCTTTGAGACGCCGCAGATAATCCCGGGACTCCCCTTCAGAACAGCGGGGAGGCTGGGTCACAGCTCCTCGCAGCTGGGGGTGAGGACGACGGCGAGCAAACAAGTGACCACCTGTGCAGACCGGCCCTGTTTTCCTGGGGTCCAATGCCAGCCCACTGAGGAGGGGTTCCACTGTGGGAGGTGTCCTGTGGGATACACTGGAGACGGACGCTCCTGTAGAGGTAAGACATCATCTATCAATCTTCTGAAGGGCTTTGTTCACACATCATTCACAGCCTCATTCGTTCTGCAAGGACACATTTGCACGTAATTACTAACCTAACACCTCCTTTGCAGCTGTATGCAGGCACACGTGTGGTAGGAACATGGAGTGTGCTGCTCCGAACACCTGCCGCTGCAAACCAGGCTACACCGGATCAGACTGTCAGACAGGTACACGGATGAATAGCTCATAAAAACATCTATTATTTCTCTCTGTTTTCACTGTTTGTTATATTTTTATTTTGCATCGTTTCTCAGCCATCTGTGAGCCGCGGTGTTTGAACGGAGGTGTGTGTGCTGCTCCGGACGTGTGTCTGTGTCTCACAGGGTTTCATGGAGAAACCTGTCAGGAAGGTAACGTTTTTCCAAGCAGTTTTATGCTTTATTTAATATGTATTTTGCCTTTTTTCCTTCCTGCTGTAACACTGTTAATGTCCTCTCTGTGGGACGAATAAAGGTTTTCTGATTTTCAATATGAGGTAGTTAATCTAAAGTGTTGTGTGCAGCTCTGTGCAGGTCTCCCTGTGAGAACGGAGGCTCCTGCGTGGGGCTGCAGACCTGCTCCTGTCCCTATGGGTTTGTGGGACCTCGCTGTGAGACCAGTGAGTGCACACTAACTCTCTTAAATATCATTTGATCTGATTTTCATTTGCATATTTTAATTAATATTCTTCTTGTTCGTAGTGGTGTGCAGCCGTCACTGTCACAACGGAGGCCGGTGTGCGTCTCCGGACAAGTGTGTGTGTCCGGCAGGCTGGACCGGCCTCTCCTGTGAGACTGGTAAGTGTGTGTGAGTGTGTTTGAACGTGCATATTCTATACTGACCTCTTGTCTCTCTCTCTGCAGCTCTCTGCTCTCCCATGTGTCTCAACGGAGGAGTGTGTGTCCGTCCGAATGTCTGCGAGTGTCCTCACGGATCCTACGGTGCACAGTGTCAGAACGGTACAAATGAACTAATCAATTAAAACATCAAACAATATGTTTTTTCTGCTGGTCAAGCATTTATAAAGCTTAAGTTAGGAACATAATTGATTTTGATCACACGAGTAATCAATGTCTTGCCCATGCAGCTGTGTGCAGTCCTCCCTGTAAGAATGGAGGTGTGTGTATCAGGAACAACGTGTGCTCCTGTCTGCAGGGATACACCGGGAAGCAATGTGAAAAAAGTCAGTATAAATTCCTCCTCATCTTCTCCTTCCTGTATTGTTCTTCTTCTTCAAACCATGTCTCCCTCTCCCTCTATCTGCAGGTGTGTGTGAGCCGGTGTGTATGAACGGAGGCAGGTGTGTGGGTCCAGATGTTTGCGATTGTCCGTCAGGTTGGCGTGGAACCAGATGTGATAAACGTAAGTGATACAAGAGTGCCATCCGTATCGATACATAACTCTCTACATGTACAGCATGTTGGATCCCATAATGCATCAGTGTGAACATCTGTGTGAAGTTAATCTGTCAAAACTTTGTAGAATACATGCAAACCTACAAGGAGATCAGAAGAACTAAGGAAGATAGGATTGACCTCAAATAAAATCCATTGAGAAAGGGGGATTAAGAACAGAAAATCCTTACCTGCTGAAGCTGTGTGCTGTGACCCCTCCTCCTTCACCAGTGTCACACCTGTCACTCACGTCTGCACACCTGATTCATCTGCAGCTCCTCCTCCCTCTCCTGCATGTCCGTTGTCTAATGCGTGTGTCTCGTGTCTCCCTGCAGCCAGCTGTCTGCAGAGGTGTCTGAACGGGGGGGAGTGTGTAGGCTCAAACACCTGCCACTGCACCCGAGGGTGGCAGGGCATGCTGTGCCAGATCCGTGAGTTTCCTACAAACAACTTAATATAACTCAGTTTCTAGTGAACATATGCCATGATAAACTTGTCTCTGATTCCCAGTGAGATATTTGTCAAGATACAATTATTTTATACTCAGATTCTTTTTTGTTTTCCGTGTTTTTCTTCAGCCATCTGTGAATCCAAATGTCTCTACGGCAGTCGCTGCGTCCGGCCAAACGTCTGCGCCTGCAGGAGCGGATTCACCGGCTCTCTTTGCTCCAGAAGGGTAAGAAGACCTGAAAATAGAGCATCAATTATTAATAAAAGGTGGCTCAGCATATGCAAAACAAGACTTGTAATAACTTAAGCTTAAAATAACAAATACTACCTGGAAATGTTCCTCTTTTCCCGTCTTCTAGTCAGTTTTCACTCCTTAGGAATGAGATAAAAGTCAAAAACAAGTTGACTTAATTGCATGTTAGGTGCTAGTCTGGTAGCATTTTCAGGAAGGAATGCATATGGTTCAGTTATTCCTCTGCAGCTGGTATAAGACACACACACACGTCAAAAGCATTCGAGGAAAACTGGAAACACGTGAAAATGCGTCCCACCTCACGAGTTGATCCGTGACAGATGATGATGTATTGCGGCGCTGTGAACGGTGAAATACAGTGTGCCCTGATCAAAGACAAATGTAGCGCTGTGTTTCAGCTGACATTTATTTGTCAATGTCTCGAGACATCCAGCTGTTGAACTGCCTTCTGCACCTTTTCTTAAAGTAAACTCAGTTAGCTTGTGTTAAAGTCTACAGGTACTTTTTCCAACCTATACTGTTAATGTCTGAACAATGATTTCAATATGGACAAGAACAAACAATAATTGGTGAGTGATAAGTACAAACAGATTGTGTTTGTTGATTATTGTAACCTAGGTGAAGATCTGTTTTAGTACACAGGGTTCACCCACTTGTTCCTGCCACTGTACATGCACACAAATCTACTTCATTTTTAAAACCCTCTTGTCTTTTCAGCTTCCTGTTTCCAGAGGTTGACCGAATAACAAGCATCAAGAATGAAACAGGAGTTCAACGAGCACATATCAAATCTTCAGGAGAAAGGAAGAAACGATGAGGAAAAACCAAAGTGTTTCCTCACTGGGAAAGAAAGCCGAGTCACATTCAGTCCTCCTGCTTCCAGTCTTTGTGCTAAGCTAGGCTAACGAGGCGCTGACTAGAGATCAGCAGACAGGAGATTATTACCTGGATTTGACTATTAACGTCATAAGAAAGTGTAAAACATGCACCCTTTTCTTTTTAAGGCCACACTACAGGCTTAGTTTTTCATGCACTGGTCATTTTGTTAAGTTCTTGGGCTATTTTGCTTCCAAACTAGTGAAAGAAAACATCCAATATGCATATTTTAGTCACATTTCTAATTTAGTCAGCTGTTTTGTCTCCTCTTAAATAGTATATTTCAAGCAAATCCTACAAACATGAAGCATACATTTACAAGCAGCTATTTCCTTATAAAGTCAGGTTGATCATATTCAAGTTAGTGGGGGTATTCAGAGTTTTTACTGTAAATGTTATCAGGATATATAAAACCTCTGTATGAGTATTTATTTATTTGGTTGTTTTATATTGTCACATATTTCCTGTGTATATCAATGTATAATCTATTCTTATTAAGGCATTGTTTATTGGTTGTTTTATAAAAAAACAAATAAAGATCCTTTAAAGGTGATGATTCTTCAGATTATTTATGCAGAAAGGAATAATTTAATGAGCATTAGTAATCTTTTAGGTTCTTTTTGTGTCTAGATTTTTTTAAATGGAGACGATTCGGTTTTGGAAAGAGTTCAAGTTTCAATTATTTTTATATTTTGACTTCAGTTTTTCAGCAGAGTTTCTTACTCGTGGGGCCAGACGAGTTCACGGGCAGCGGGTCGGAGAGGAAATGAGGATTAAGAGATTAATGAGGACGCATTAGCTCCGCACCGCCTCCTCTCTCTGACTCCTGCACTCTGACTCTCTGCAGATAAAGAAACAGGACATTGTGTTAACTAAAACAATTACATTTTCCAAATTTACCCAAGACTTTTGCTGCTACTGTTTTCAGCTTAATTCTCATCCATCGAACATATTTAGAATAAAAGGACTACAATACACTACTGTTAGAATCAACCATGATAGCAAGTTATCAAAACATCATTTATTAATATAGGACCCTAGGCAAATATGAGATAATAAATAACCTTTGACCCTAAGAAATGATCAAATAGTTTATGTTGTATTTGCTTAGAGGCTGAAAATGTTCAAAAAAACTAAAACTTTGTGGACATTTCTGGATGTTTACTGCCCTCTGGTGGCCTTATTACAAACATAAAACAAAATAATATAAATAACAATAATGGGGATAATATTAATAATACAATTAAAATATATGAATACATATTAAAATAAATTATGAATGATCACAAATCTGCACAGAATTGCAGATAACACTTAGATTGACCCTTACCTTTAACAGCAACACAGACACAGAGACATACACACGCTCACAGAAACACACACAGCAGGCATCGTCAATCCACATGATATTTATATCCACCCCCAAAGATGGCACTGGGCAAGGTGGTGTTGTGGGGGGGGGGGGGGGGGGAGTGTGTCCATCCTGGTGGGCACAGACAGGACGGTCCACCTGCACTGTTCACTCAGTGCACGCTCTGCAGCCCTAGCCTGGACACGGACACACACACACACACACACACACACACACACACACACACACACACACACACACACACACACACACACACACACACACACACACACACACACACACACACACACACACACACACACACACACACACACACACACACACACACACACACACACACACACACACACACACACACACACACACACACACACACACACACACACACACACACACACACACACACACAGAGACACAGAGACACAGAGACACAGGCCTGCAACAATTACTGACCCTATAGTTCATCTGAGCTGAGAGTGGAAGTTAAAAAAGTGATGAAATCTGTGTGTAAATATTCCGAATTTTCTTGCAGTTTTAGACTAAATATTAAGCATTAAAACATGTTTCAGACAAAGGTAGAATAAGAATGCAGATATTTCACTTATTATGCATTAAAATAGTCCTACATTATTGTTATGCTTAATGCAGATTTCAGAATAATATGTGTATATTATAAAATGGGATTATAATGATGAATTTGAATAATAAGAGCAAAAGTCAAAAGTGTAATATTTCTCTGAGGTATAAAGTAGATCCTTAATAAAAGTAAAGTAACTCAAAATGTTACTTCAATACAGCACTTGAGTTAATGTACTTTTTTATTTCCCCCACTGGTTTTAGAGATATAAAAAGTATAATGTATAATAATTCTCAAGTTTTCCTGTTCAATCAGATGTTTTTAATGTATGTACTAACTCTAAGAATGAAACAAAATAATCAAAACAAATATGATATTGATAATTAAAATTACTACCATTTCTCTTACCATAATCTTAGTGCCATTTTTGTTTAAGTGAAAGACATGATGTTTGAAAGCTGGAGCTGGATATTTACTTTAACTGTGTTTTAGCAAATGGTCTTTGATTATATTTGGGCACAATGTTGTCTAGTGTGTAGGCTAAATGATCCATTAGGGTGTACATAATAAAACATGGCTGAATAATGTGTTGTAAAACACCGGATAGAGGCTAACATTTCATTGTTTTTGACCTGAAATTGGCCTTGAATGCAGCCAAATGAGTGCAGCCTAATTTAAACGGTACACCACAACAGGTGCCCCCCTCCTCCCCCCTTTAGGCTCCACCTGTCCTCCCTTCTCCGCAGCGCGCTGGCGACCCAGAAAGCAGCCGTCATTCATCAGCTGTGGTATGCCGATCCGCCGGGGGGCCGGAGCTCGGCGCAGAACTCTAAGAATGAAACAAAATAATCAAAACAATATGATATTGATAATTAAAATTACTACCATTTCTCTTACCATAATCTTAGTGCCATTTTTGTTTAAGTGAAAGACATGATGTTTGAAAGCTGGAGCTGGATATTTACTTTAACTGTGTTTAAGCAAATGGTCTTTGTATTATATTTGGGCACAATGTTGTCTAGTGTTGTAGGCTAAATGATCCATTAGGGTGTACATAATAAAAAATGGCTGAATAATGTGTTGTAAAACACCGGATAGAGGCTAACATTTCATGGGGGCCGGAGCTCGGCGCAGAACCCCTCTGGTCACCGGATCGGCGGCAGCTGCTCGGCCCCGGAGCTATTTTCACCCTGAGGATAAAGTGATGTGCAGCGCTGCCCCGGAGGCTCCAGTCAGAGAGGAGCAGCAAGGAGCAGCGAGGAGCACATAGAGGATGAAGTCCACAGGCAACGCGCAGCCCGACGGCTTCACCTCCGACTTGGAGGACCTGGACAGCGGCAGCGACAGCTCGGACGGGAAGTCCACCGGAGACTGCAGCCCGCGCAGAGACCCGGGGGAGGAGGAGGGGGAGGCCGGTGACCGGAGAAGGAGAAGGAGAAGGCGGAGGCGCAGCAGCAGCGGGGGAGACGGGTGTCTCGCCGGGGTGAGCAAACAGAGGCAGGCGGCCAACGCGCGGGAGCGGGACCGGACGCACAGCGTGAACACGGCCTTCACGTCGCTGCGCACGCTCATCCCCACAGAGCCCGCCGAAAGGAAGCTCTCCAAGATCGAGACGCTGCGCCTGGCCTCGAGCTACATCTCGCACCTGACCAACGTGCTGCTGCTGGGGGAGGACTGCGGGGACGGGCAGCCCTGCCTCGGATACCCGAGCATCCTGCACGGCAGCGCCGCCTCCCTGAGGCCCATCTGCACTTTCTGCCTCAGCAACCAGAGGAAGCTGGTGAGCGGAACCTCGCACAGGTTATACCAGGGTCAAATGTTTTTAAAAAACGTTTTCTGCAGCCAGAATTTGATGCGTAAAAGTTCTGATATTACACACGTCAGTCCATACAACAGAGGATGAATATCTATTGATTAAGTAAAAGTAGCCATAACAACATGTAGAAATACTCAAGAAAAAGTCCTGCCTTCAAAATCTAACTTAAGTCAAAGTAAACAAGTATTGGAAAAACATACTTATACCAAAAGGAAAATAGCTTGTTGTGCGTAATGGCCATTTTTTGGGATCATATAAATTAAATGACTGTATTATTATTATTGATGGATTAAAGTGTTCATCACATACTGCTGCTGAAAACCTAAATCTAGAATTATATGACTATGTTTATTTATTAGTTTATATATATTAATAGTTAATGTTACTAAAGCTGTCAGATAAATGTAGTGAGTAAAAAGTGTAAAGTTAAAATCTGCCTGTTTATTGGAAATGTATCTTCATGTGGTTCAGAGGAGATTTGGTTTGACCCTAAGCGGCACCTGTTGCTGAAGTGATTGACAACACAAAATGAAAACAAGCCATGGTGCCTTCAAAGGTTTAAAATAAGAGTCAAGGCTTTACTCAGTTACACTGCACCCTCTGCTCTAAACTCTTAAAGACAACTCTTTCAGGTAAAGAATCTGGCACACAATCAAGAGTAATGGAGAAAGGCAGCACACTTTGTTATGATTATTGATGAATTTGTGATTTCTATTTATAAAGACAGAAAGAGCTTTTGGATTTGTATCCCGAGTGCTTTTAAGATGCAAAATTAAGTCCCAATATGGACTAAAATAAAGGCTCAAGAAAATGGAAAACAACTTATCTTAAATACTCAAAATGTAAATTAAATAAACAAATCTGGCAATGTATGTCCTAAACAAACATGTGGGTGAAGTTCAGTGTTTTGGCTGGTCACCTTGCAGTTATAAAAAGATGCCAGGCACTAGCTCCAAATAACAATTATTTCATTATCTTTATTATAAATGAAGTATTTGACGAAGGTTGTATTGGTATTTTTGTTGGCAATTTGCACACTTATTGTCTCATTAAGTCTTAAACTGTTCCGTTTCTTTAAGTTTATAAAAATTGTATTTAGATAGTTGGATGAGGTGTTATTTTACATCTTGTTTACCTGGCATTAGTTAAATAAATGATGCCAAAAATGAAGATATAGTGAAGTTAATGATTAAATAAACGAATTTACAGCTGAAATCAAGATCAATATTATGATTAATGTCATGGTGCTTTCACTTAACTGTGTTCTCGTGGTAAAAATGTGCGTTTCTTTGTCTCCACAGCTCAGAGATGGAGGGAAACACTCGGCGTCAGTGTGAAGCGGACACACCTCCACCTGGATGTTGTTTACACACACCTGTAGGACTTTGTACATATATAAATAATAATACATTTATTTTTGGATAAGCCTTGAGAAACAAATTAACACTGAAAAGCACTTTCTGCTCACGCTGGTTGGTGTGCCTCTGAATCTGTGTTTTGGTTGTAACCTGAGCCCATGTGTAAAGTTGCACCTGACGGAGGGGGGGGGGGGGGGGGGGGGTATTTTGGTCCTACGAATAGTACTAACCCCCCACACACACCAACACCTAAAAAAAAAACTTCTCCGCCTTCAGTCACATGCAAAAACTGAAGAGCAGCGACTGCCGCTGTCAGTTCTGCTAACACCGCCTTCAAGGAGCGTCAGAAAACATTTCAATTATTCAGGGTCACTTTAAGGAGAGCTTCTTTAACTCTAGTGGTGAAGGTAGGAACTGCATCAACACTGACATCACATGCACTATAAAATAAATACATTACCACCTCACCACCTTCATAAAAAACATGAGACTTGTTCCTAATCTGAAAAAGAGAATCCCCACATGAATGGACAATGTTTAATATTTTGTGTACCTGTCATCTGTTTTGGCCTGAAATCAAGAGAAGTGTTCCGATAAATATATATATTTTTGAAATGTTTACTTACCATTGTTGCACAGTCACTTTAAAAACACACAGCTGTGACGTTCTGTGTTCACATGGCATGCAAAGAGCATCAGGTTGCACTAATCTGGAGAAAACATAAATATATAAGTAAAGTGGATCCCTGGATATTTATTTTGCAGCACACATGAACAGGTTGCACTCTACCTCAGAGCTGTGTTTAAACACGAAGGCCTACCTCTCAATCAAATGTGTCACATGACTACCAGAATGCACTTTGCACATCAAATACTGACTTGAAGAGACATTTATTTTTGTACAACACAAATAAAAATGAGAATAATATCAACTGTCCTCTGTGCATTGTCTGCTGTTTCCTGATGTGTGCGGAGGCAATTCAATATAAAGTATTCCAGTCTAAATACAAACATACTGATGAAGCTTAAAGGAGACAGCGGAACCATCATCTTTATTTTCATCAAAAAAAGTCAATCGGTTTATCAGATTAAAGAAAGTAGAAACCAATAGTAACGAGTTGGCGTATGGACACGCGGTACAGGGGTTCCCAAAAGTCGAGAGAGGAGCCGAAACATGGGCAGGGGATTATAAAAATACTAAACGTTGGCAAAATGAGTTTTTGTCCGCCTTGAATATCGATATCTCACGTTTTTCTGATTCATACGAGCAGCAGCGATCGATCACATGGAATGTTTTGTATCCAAATTAAACAAGGAGGTACGATAATAAAACATCTGGGAAATATTCATAGTTTTACCGTTTCCACTGTGAGCCCTTTTTCAGGTTTAGTTTGAATAATCTTTACATGATTCTTTTTAGAGGTGGAAGGGTGTGTGTGTGTGTGTGTGTGTGTTTTAGGGTTAAAATAGTAACAGGAGGTAGAAGAGAGGAGGAAAAAAGACATTCTTCTGCTCCTGCTGCTACTTATAAAAAAAAGTAAAACGCGAAGAAGCTCATCTGGCGGTGGAGGAGTTAGTCCGTCTCCTCTCCGTCCGACTCAGACTCTGCAGAGAGGAAATACTGGATTAGTCAATTAAATATTTGAAAACATTCAAAAGAGGACATATTCTGCTCACTTTCAGGATTCATATGGTTTCAAAGAGGACTCTTAAACACTGATTATCATCCTCGCAGTTTTAATTGGCACATCGGCAAACTTTTTCTCCCGTGCTGCAACAACACAGATTAATGCCTCAGGCTGAATGAGGGTGTGTGTGTGTTATTATTTACCTTCCTCAGCATTTTTCAGCCACTCGACGAATTTCTTCATCTGCTCGAGGAAGACGCTCTTCCCCTTGGCAACGTGGGCATCGGTGTACCACTTCAGTATGGCCTCTTCACTCAATACATCCGCTGTGAGGAGGAGGAGAGTTTGAGAGCTTGCAAACAATAAATTCAACATACATTTAAAATACTTGAGCAAAAGATCACTTTAAAAGACATTTAGACTTATTTTTAAGCAAATTGTGTTTTGTTTTTTAGAAAAGGTGCATTGTAATTCACATTTACAAAGGCTTAAGAAAAGTTAGATAACATTACATTACATTACATGTTAGACGCTTTTATCCAAAGCGACTTACATACTCAATACTGTGGGCAATCTCCACAGGAGCACTTTGGGGTGAAGTGTCTTGCCCAGGGACACAACGACATGCTGACTGCAGTGGGGTTTGAACCTGTGCTCCCCTGATCCCAACACCTACGCACAACCTACTGCGCCACACGCCGCCGTAAATGCCACTCTGAACGCAATTTAGGACTAATACTACGCAGAATTTCTCTGATACCTAGAGCATTATGACATCAATGCGAGAGGCTTTTGGTAAAAATAATCAAATATGATAACGTTATGTTTAAACTTATCTAACACTACAAGAAAGGGAACGCCACAAAACGCACAAAAGTCCCATTTCGATCATCAGAAACCCTTTTACGGTCAATTAAATGTAAAACAATGACCTGAAGAAGTGAACAGACTTTCATTAAACACCCTAAAATAAATGTGAGTTAGTGACCTTTGTAGAGGAGCACCACGATCTTCTGGAAGGCCTTCATGAAGTGGATGTTGTCGTAGCAGTACTCCTGGATCTTCAGCAGCAGGGTGATCTCAGACAGACCCTGGGAGGTGAAGGCTTTCAGCAGCAGGCTGTATTGCTGCAGAAACATGAAGCAAGGTCAGAAAATAAGAACAGCTTTGCATTCTGGGGCGGAGGTGGACATGCACTCCTCTAGCACTCTCAGGAGTTATAATGTGTGTTTTTAAAAGCGTGTTGGTGCATTAAAGCGTATTGATTTACAGCAGGATGAAGCTTAATGGGTTGCTGTTCACACTGCTGCAGATTTATTTCAGTTTGTTCTCGTCTCGAGCTACTTTAACACCTTCCATCAACAGTACAAATTACACTTTTTGGAGTTTCAGTTTCTCAGCGCTGAGATATACCACTTCAGGGCAAAACAGCCCATTTCCTACGGTTTAGAGCCAATTCAAGGTGCATTTAAGCTTTCCCATCACTTCACAGCAGTGTTTAATAGCATGTGTATACACTTTACATACAGTATGATGGTTGCTGCATTTTCTCGATTATTTTTCTTTCAGACAGCAGCTACAGAAGGGTGACAAATTCAAGGAAAACATGATCAAAGTTTCATGTTTCAAGTATTTACAGTTCCAATGAGAACCCTGCATAAATATGCTAACCCAAATTAAAAATGTACCAACTTTTAGGTCAAACTAAATACTTAATAGGTATTTTATGCACAGTCAAATAAAATCCAATGTCAATAGATGCACACCGCATAAGACAACTTTGTTTCACAGCACTGAATAACATTTTTAGACTTGCAGGAACTTGCAGTCACTGTGGCAAGGTTTACAACTTATTGCCCAACGCATGACATCATATTAGTGTTGTATTTATAAACTGTATTCAATGCATTTTTAACTGTTTCCAGTACATGCATTTGAACAATTGAAGGTTTGCATACCTTCAATTGTTTGATGGCTTGTTCGGTCACCAGCTCCTCCTTCTTGTTCCACTCCACGCAGCTCATCACGCTGGTCCAGATGATGCTGATCAAGGCCTGCTCCGACAGGTTGGACCTCTTCATCTCCTCTCTGGCGAAGACGATAATCTGAACAGACGGCGAGAGAAAATCAGTCATGAAACAACACAACCGCAGGTGGAAAATAAAGGAACGTTTCCACAGGGTTTAGAGATAATTATTGAATATTTAGTATGTTGTTTAGTTTCCAAATGATAACACGGACAAACAGCTCATTTGTTATGAACTCCATGACTCATGGTGGCACCACCTTTGTTAGTTAGTTTTCTATGTATTCATTGTCCGTTTCTCAATGTCGAGTAAAGCTGCTGCAGAGCCACTATTTCAAGTATACTACGTCATCGAGTGGGACCGAATGCTGGGCATTTAAACAGTCCTTCGGCGCCACTCGATTACGTAGTACGTAGCTGTGTTTCTGCCATCTAGGATGTGTAGTTGAACATGTCACATCCTATGGGTTTGATGATTTTAAATGTGTCTTTTGTGTTCTATCTGGGTCAGTGGTGGAATGTTGTTAGCCCCATAGGGCCATTTCAAGGATGGGGCGTAACAGTGATGTTCAGAAGTTACTGCTAATGCGTCAGTCACAAAGCATGAAACATGGAAAAAGTGACAATGAGGAGAACAGTCAAAGCTGCTACAAAAAGAAGAACGATTATGACAATTACCAGAATTACACCACAGCTTTTTACTGCAGAGATTCAGGTTATTTTACAATATTTGCAGGTTTGTCACCCTCTTAAATCGCTTTAAATTCAGCCTTATGATCCCAGACTAATGAGAAAGTTGTTTAACAATAATGACTATTCACCTCGTTCTGAGGGTCTCCGCGGGCAATCTGCTCCTGGAGCTCCTTCTGCAGCTCCTTGCGGGCACCGATGGATTCCTGGTTACGGGCGAAGTCAGCAAGCTCCTTCAGCCCGGCGTCGGTGAAGTACTTAGAAAAATGCTCGCAGCTCCGTTTGTTGGCAGGAAAGAGTTCCTGAGGGGAGGAGATGGTTTAGGTCAGAGTTGATGCACACACATAATTGGACTTGACACTTAACAAATAGATGGTTTTCCAGCCATCTTTGATTAAACAGTTGATTTACCATCAGCCTGTTGTCCATGCCCACTTTGCGGAGAGAGCTGGCCACAGAGTTGATGTCCTTTTCGTTGATCCATGACTTGAACAGCTTAACGGCGAAGGCTGCAGATACTCCTAAAAAAAGACAAGAGTGGTTTCTGTTACACAAAGCTGACTGAAAAGCCAGTATTATTCAATGGGGCGTTATTAGCATGAACGTTTGAAGAAACATTCAAAGCTCTTGAACAAAACCCTCTTTCTCACTCATTTCTGGAGTATTTCTGCTCACCTTCTTTGACAATGTTCTCGTTGTAGAGGCTGTTAAGGATGGAGGCTGATATGTTTCCTTTGGCCAGCAGGATGCCGGTCAGCATGGCCAGTTTGTTGCGCTCAGACTCAGTGAACCCTTTAAGAAACAGCAGCAACTGCAGAGGCCCCAAAG